TCATTTGAATCAATTTCATGACCCCATGCCAATACTTCGTAGGCCTATTGCCTTTAACGGAGCATGAATGATTAATAATGAATTTGTAATCGATCATGGCGTTTCGATATAATATTATGTTTTTTCATTATTAATTCATTAGTGAATTCATTAGTGGTTTCCACATTACAATTACAATTTACAAGGACGCCAAGTATGGTTTGACCTAATTATATGGTAACAGAAACTCATTTCTCGAAAAGATACATCAATAACTGCACGCAACATTCTAAAAATACCTTTCCTTTTTACGCATAGAAAATTATCTTCACTTCAATTCAATTCAATTCAAATGAAATTTCTATTATTATGCATCACAGTACTTCTATGTATGATTGTGTACCATGTTACAGTTTACTTCAGTCTATTAACGGAGCATGAATGATTAATAAAGAATTTCTAATCGGTCGTGGTGTTTTCGATACACACGTGTACTGTCACATTATTAATTCATGAGTGAATTCAAACTGATTGTGGTTTCCACTGTACAATTACAAGGAAGCAAGTAGGAATGGTTTTACCTATATCTAGTAGGAAACATAAACTCATTTCTCGAAAAGATACATGGGGTGTGGAGAGAGATTGAGAGATTCAGAGTTAGAGAGAGAGAGTATGTGTGTGCGTGGGTGAGAGAGAGAGAGAAGGAGAGAGAGAGAGAGAGAGAGAGAGAGAGAGAGAGATGAGAGAGAACATAATTATAGACCACCTGATCGATTGAAATTACGGAAATGAGAACAGAAGGAGAAGACGGAGGAGTAGCTGAATTTTTTTTTCAATTAAATTAGTATACAAGGAACATGGAACACTGACAAGCCAATAAAGTTTTATGTAGAGACAAAGGAAAATAAATAAACGAGACAAAGGAGGAGATACAACGACTTTGAAGAGAGAATAGAGAGGAGGAGCAGAGGAAAAGCGCATCTAAGTTTATATTATGAAGAAGTGATGATGGTGTTTGCGGTCCGGCCATTTGATGACTCGTTCTATAATTTCTTCAATCATTTTTGGAGGAGACTCTCTTTCAAAAATGCACAGAGGACAATTATTACCCCCGGAAAATTACCTCCCAAGGACAATTACATCCCCAGAACAACCGAGGACAACCACCCCGAGGACAATTACCCCCCCCCCCCCCCCTGTTCATTAAACGGGAAGTCCATTCATAACTTGAGAAAAGGGTTATTCGTAAGAACCGCTGTTCATAATCGAATATAAAGGGTGTCGCTATTCACAATATGAGAAGAGGGTCGCTATTCATAATACTAGGATCAAAATGCGTCCCGTTGCCAGTTTGGTCTTTTCAGTATACGCAATTAGGTATTCATTAAACTTGCCATTTTTATTTTTCTATGTCTAAATGCCGTTCATTCAAATCAGGTTCTGAGCATTCTTAAACTCATTTTAAATCCCATCTGTACTAGTTTACAGGAGGGATTAGACCACCCTGCAAGGTAACTGGACAGGTATCTCATCAAATCAGCTCTCAGTTAATATAAGATAAAGAGGATAATGGGGGACCAATGGTCACCGATTAGGCATTGTTTGCTACATAGAGGGCGCAAGTAGCTATAAGTAGTACAATAGAGATTTAAAAGGTGCTGTATTTCAAAGCCCAAAATACTTTCTGTGTTGGTCTTAATATTCATTGTACATTAAACTAGTCTTTTACCATATTAAAGTGTTTTATAGACTTTGTTTGTTTAAATGCTTGACAATCCCAATGGATTTTTTTTATGAAAAAAAAAAATATTTAAAAAAAAATTAAAAACATGGGGAAAAAAATTAATTAAAAAAAAAGACACACAAAAATAAAGTTTTAAAAAAAAAATTCCGAAAAATCCGCCCGCCCGCCCGCCCCTACTCCAGAATAGCAATCGAGGATAACCAAACAATTTTTTGGGGGGCCTTATGCCTTTATTAATAGTGACCCCCTTTTCGTTTTATGAATAGCGGTCTTTCACGTATAGGAAGTTCCGCGTTATGAATAGCGGTCCTCAGGACTAGCGAAGTTAACCCTAATTGTCCTCGGTAATAGTCATAGGGGGTGGTTGTCCTCGGCGGGGATATTTTCCGGGGGGGGGGAATAATCTTTAGGGGGTAATTGTCACGCTGGTAATGGGCCGGGGATGATTGCCCAGGAGGGGAATTGTCCGAGAACCGATGCAAATACGACGCGACCAAGTAAGAGACAAGTGTGGGATGAGGGCAGTATCTTCTTTTCACGTTGCCGTCCCCTCTTTTTCTCCCCCCCCCCCCAAAAAAAAAAAACTTCCGCGACCCCCCTCCCCTCTCTCTCTCTCTTCCTCCCTCCTCTCTCTCTCTCTCTCTTCCTCCCTCCTCTCTCTCTCTCTCTCTCTCCCTTTCCCCTCTCTCTCTGTCTCTGTCTAGAGTTCCCTCCCTCTCTCTCTCTTTCTCTCTCTCCCTTACTCTCCCTCTCGATCTCTACGAGTACGATCCCTTATCTTTATGTCTTTTACTTTTTGTTTTGTTTTAGACCCTATCTCGATCTAGCTTGCAGCACAAATCTTACAATATTCCATCCATTCAGGTTCCCATACAGTCGATTGATATATTGGGGAATATTTTTTTTCTCTTATCCTCAAGCGAGGTTTTTATTTCCATAATTTCAAAACATATTTACATTAATAACTCAATGATTGAGTGAAATATAACATAGGCTGAAAATTAAAGTATATTTAACATTTTTTCCAGTTTAGTATTATTTTCTTTGCTAACACATTCATTTCTTAAAAATAATGTTAGCGACGACTTGAATTCAAAAGTATGTGGGTGAGTAAACAGAACCATTAACAATCTTCTTAATGTAAAATTTATAAATTGCATATTGCGCATAATTTAAAATAATATTCAGGAGTGAATATTTCTTTTTTCCAAATTCCTTATACCTACAACTATTATCTTTGTTCTATTTGTATTTCCTTTTAGAATAGGTTAACTTTCTATTCCAAAAGGAAATACAAATAGATAATATGTAATTTGATATTTAAATATCAAATTACATATTATTTTCCAAAACAAAGTCACATCCTTGCAATATAACATAAAGTGAATAGTTAAATCTACTTGTCCACAGGAGTTGCATAATGAATTATAATTCACAATTTGCCATTTATATAAGTTTTCTTTTGAGGCAATAAACCTATGAATCATCTTGAAATTAAATTGTTTAACTTTATTATTACGAATTTGCTTTACTTTAAATAAAAATACATCCTTCCAAACAAAGTCACTATCCGAATCTAAAAAGGAATTCCAAAAGTAAATGACATTTGATTCAATTGACTTTTTACGTATATATTAACAAACGATAGTAATCTTTCACTTTCATAATAAAAAAATAACTTCTATCAATTCTACAAGATTCGAAATATCACATTCGAGTATCATGAACAGATCTTAATCTGTCTAACCAACACTGCGGAAATGCTTAATTTTGTATATTTAAAATCAAATAAGAGCTGTTGTGCTTTCACTTTTGTATGTGTTAATGTAGAGTCATTCCAATTATGGAATTTTCAATAAAACCGGCATCTTTCCATTCTCGATAAAACAATATTTTGTTCTTAAAGGTAATGTTATACTATTTTTCCAAATAATTTTATTTGGAATATTTCTCACTTTAAACATATAATGAATTTTAGTTCTGACCAAGTACAAAAAAGATCTACATAGAATTCTGGCAAATAATGTTTAGAGCATAATAAATTCATATATTTTATGTTACAATTGAAATGTAAACAAAGTGGCAAACCTCCTATTTTATCGGACCAGTATCTAAACATATTTTTTCAACTAGAGCCGTTATCAGGGGCGTACGCAGGGGGGGGGGGGGGGGGGGGGGGGGGGGGGGGGTTTGGCGGTTCAAATCCCCCCTTTGGTATTTTAATGTATGTAAACCCCCCTAAAAAAAACCTAAACCCCCCCCCCCCCTTTGGCTTTTTTTTTTTTTTTTTTTTTTATTATAAAAAAAAAAAAAAAAAAAAAATTATACCCACGGCTAACCTAAATAAGGTGACCTTACCCTCCCCCCCAACGAAAAAAAATGTCAAATTTTGAAATTTTGAGACCAAAAAAAAAAAAAAGTGTCCGCTTACAACCCCCCCCCCCCCCCCCCCCCCCCCCCCTTGAAAAAATCCTGCGTACGCCCCTGGCCGTTATCATAAAAAAACGAGATATCCATGCCAAACGAAGTGAAGATATTTTACTAGCAATATAATCATATTCAATCCACCATTTTCAATATCACGTATACTTACATTAGGTTTAATTTTATCTTGTTTGGAATTCCATAAGAAACGAAATAGTCTTTTCAATATCTGACAACATGTTATGGTACTATAGTACAACAGTTGCGGTATACACAATTTGTAACGCCACTAACATTTTTAAAACAATTATTCTACCATAAAAAGTAAGATCTCTCATTTTCCACACATTTAATACGTTTCGAATTTTATTTATTTTTACATTCCAGTTTAAATCTTGTAATAATTTCTTATTTTCGCCTACATAATACTCCTAGATATAACAGGTTGATCAGTATATATAATGGCATTATCATGAAAAAAATTATCTATTGTCTTATTCCAATTTATTTTCGGACCTGCATAGTCTCCAAAATCGTTAATTTCACAGTCGACTGATATATTGGGGAATATGGGTACTTTAATTCCTGCATCCCTCGTCCCATCCCCTCTTCCCCCTCTGCAAAGCCCCCCTCCCCCCCCCCCCCCCCCCCCCCCCCCCCCTGTCCTCCTCCTGTATTAAGGCGAGAGGCGAATCTTTTGTTTGGATATATTTTTTAGACGAGACAGATTGATGGTGCAAATTGCACATAGCCAAGGCAGCAAGACTTTGCAGCTCGTCTACATTTGACTCGACTCATTTATATTTTCGGCCTAGCACTGATATTGCATACGGGGTACGGGTACGCACTGCGTGCCATCGATTGCATATTCCTCTCAGCTCACCGAGAGTTGCTATGCGGATCGCTGGAGCTGGAGCCAAGATATAGATAACAATCTAAATTTCTTCCTAACATAACATTTACGGCATATCAGTCATTCAGTAGATTCACTAATTAAATCAGGATCAAACACTAACTCAGTAAGTTGGGCTACAGCCTTCAGACGTATTTAGTTTAGACAAGTGTTGATGACTGTCGTTGACGTTGTGGCAAGCAGAGCTGAGTCGCTAGTCGCCGAGTCGAGTCCTCATCATACCGTCAGCTTGGCGGGGAAGAAGGGAGAGAGACACCTACTGATTTCAGTGTGAGAGATACAGACTCGGATCAGCTCAGCTCAACTCAGCTCAGGAGCATCCACTAGACAGTCGGCGACTGTCATTCTACACTGCACGGCACGGGTGGGTAATTTAATTAGCAGACTTATTCCAATATTCTAACGTTTTGTGGAGCGTCTTTTGACAGCTTTTGAGTTTGAGTGACCATGGTGACTGTGTCTGTGCTGAGACTGAGTGATAGATCTCTACATCTTCCTCAGTAGACGGTGTCAGACAGAGGCCAAAATTCCAGATTTGGTGATCCAGATTTTAGTTATCCTCTTAATTAGCTGTCTGTCATCAATTATCCCTTAAAAAATCTCTTAAAAAATCCTCTAACGAAGCAAGAAAATTTTCCTTTGAAAGGATTTTTAAAGGGATTTTTCTGTCTGACACCAATGTTAAAATAATCCCTTTAAAGGTTGAACAGTTGACCTTTAAAGGGATTATTTCAACATTGGTGTCAGACAGAAAAATCCCTTTAAAAATCCTTTCAAGGGATTATTTCAACCTCTAAAGTGTAAGGTCAACGTTTCACTTGATGATTGGCTGGCATATGGTTTTTAACGCGCTATCATAACCTGCGCACAATTGAGACGCGTTAATTGTGCATTACTTTTGATTGAATGGGTGATGTCACAATGCTTATCTACGCATTATCTGCGCATGCGCAGTGGCCCGTCAATAATTCGGATTTTAGTTATCCAGATTATTCGTAGCTTGTCTGTCACCAGTCTGTCACCGACGTAAATGAAAAAACTAGATTTTTAAAATCTGGTTTATTCATGATGGGTCAGGGTTTTTCTGTGTGACACCGCCTCATGTGACATGTCTGGAGTCGGGCTAATACTCCAGGGCCGGAGCTCCGACGCCTTCAGAGCCCACATACATGTACAGGTGTACATGTAGGAAAACGATTCAAACAAAAAACGGTGGGTTCGTTGGGTGACATTTTTTCAAAATGTAAAGAAGTAGTTTTTACAATTTTGACTTAAAATGTTTTTCAACTCCTCTGGGCATCCGTTCAACCACTTGAAATTATAATTTGAAGAAGTCTTCAATGGATCCCTCGTCCTAACCCAATTCATCCTATACAAATTAATTTGTCTCATAAGATTGATTACACTGATAACACTAATAACTATTATTACTACTTTTACTAGTATTAAATAGATTGGTGTTGGAAAAGAATGTTCAATCGATGTGGTATGAATGAAGCCCTCCCCCCCCCCCCTTCTTTTTTTTTCCGCCCACCTCAGTTTTTGTTATTTTACATACACATGTACATGTACATGTAGACAATGATCATGAAGTAACTTGGCCGACTTGTGGAAAAAAATCACAATCGACAATTGAAACCGTCAAGTATAGGATGAGGGTTGTGAGTCCGGAGCCTCTGGAGGCTGAACAAAACCACAGCCTTCCCTTGTGCCCTTGAATTTGATAAAAGTATGCATCAAATACATGTACATGTACAGTATACATGTATGTCACATGGATTGGAAAATAGTTATTAAGTTAATCTTTTTCTTTTCCCGGCATCCATGTGACTCTTTTCCAAATGTACTCTTTTCCAAATGTACTCTTGTGTTGTATTCAGTGATTTTCTTTGTCTTCCCAAATAAATAATAATAACTATTTTAAAAATTCAGTTGTAGGACTAAACATCATAAAAATATGTCCTTTACAATATTCTCTAACATACATTAACTCTTGAAAGATTTGTAAAATATTGCATGTAAACTTCTTCAAATTACTGTTTTAAATCAACTATCCGGACTACTACATGAAAGTCTGGACACACATCTGGGTATACATGTACAATGTACATGTACCAATTACAAAAAAATATTAAAATCCAAATATTACTTCTGTACAGATTTTGCAAGTTTGAATGACACTCTCAAAAGCCTCAATTAGCATAAAAGCAACCTGTGTCTGTGATTTGACGATAAGAGTGTCACTGAATTCACCATACTGCCTGCAAGAATAAATATCAATCATAATTTTCTCCGTCATGATATCAGTGCATACATGTAAAACCTCAGACTTTGGTGTTTCTAGGACATCCCCAACAAGAAACAAAACATACATGTACCTTTTGACCTTGGGATAACACTTCATAGAACATCCATATGAGCATTTACAATGTACATGTACATGCACTATTTGCAAAATTAAGGAAGAAAGAAGTAAAGAAATCAGGGAATCTGAAAGAAGAACAAATATTGCATGATTTGCATCAAATGATTTTTCATTATCTTTGGGTTACAGCAATATTCTGTACATTTACGTATACATGTACAAGTACTGTACATCGTTAAGCATGTTATAATTTTTAATAGGATTCCCAAAAAACTTTTATATCTCACATCATGCTGAAAACAAAATCAGAGAAGGGATGATCTTTTTGTTCTTCTCTTGACCTTTAAGAATGCTGACAGAATGAGATGCTTCATCATTAGCCCTGGGGGGTGTTTCACAAATCTTGCCATCAGTGACAAATTTATATGACAGTTAAAGCTAGTGAAATCCTTTTTGGGGTTGGGATTAGGTACCGTATTGTGTTGGGTCCAAAGTTATTAAAGGAATTATTTAATTTGTGTAATTTCCGATCATTTGATTGTTTATTGTTCCAGTGAACAATTATACATGCACATGTACATGTACATTCTTTGTTGTTGCTTGAACATTAATGTAAAAGGCTCAGACTTAGTTAACAAGAAGAGAAATAGGATACAAAACATTTGATAGATCTACAGTTCATTCTGTTGAATAGTGCATACTTGCAATTGACTAGTAGTGATATTTCATATCAGGCTATTTTGCAATCTGGAGCTAATGAAAACACACCTATTGAGACATCTGTTGCTCAAGGGCTTATCAAGAAGTTCTATTTATTGAGAGGCGGCCCACGTAAAGACGTTTCCTCTAGGCTTTGTCTGAAGGAAGTCAGAATTGTGAGGAGAATTTCCTCAGAGAGTGATGACCTAGACCCCTTTCTCATTCACTTCTAGACCGATCCAGGCTAGACCGGTCTAACTGTGAGTGTGAACAGACAAGCGGTCCAGGAAGCGATCTTCTGGATCAGTTTGCTTCCTAGATCTCCTCAGACCGATCTACATGTAGCGTGCAGTGCGAACTTATATAAACATATATTGGTATTTACATGTACCGGTAGTACATTTAGGATCTGTGCTGTGGTCAAAATTTGTTTTCATGCATGCCTCGGAACATTGATATTGAAACAGATATGTACTTCCTCATCCCTCATGTAGAACGGTCATACATGTACATGTACATGTACATATTTTTTTTTATATGTATCCATATGTTTTTTTTTATATGTTTTTATGTATCCATATTACTGTATGTATTATGTATTTGTGTATACATGTACATGTGCAAACTTAGGGTCTGCATACAGTATGGACTGTAGTATGTACTGTATGTGAGGCCTATGCTATGGAAAACAAAATATCGAATATCAAAAATGTATTGCTATTCATATATTGTATGAGTTTAATATATAATTTTATTGCAAATATGGTAGTACAATTCAAATTTCTGTATATGTACCAAGCAATTTGCCAAGGTCGTTGAAGCACAATTATATAATCAACATACATGTATGTACAAAAGAATTCCAATTTTACTACCGTAATGCTACCATGCATAATGTTTTACTTTGTCACTGATGTACATGTACATGTATACCTTGTTAAAGAAACTGCAATTCGGCTCTCGGGCCGCGAAAGTTTTTTTATGAAATAAACCATTTTAAATAAATAAATAAATAAAAAAAATACTTGAGGGGATGAAACCCCACGGTATAAATTGCCATGAATATGTACAGGTACATACATACATGTACATGATGTACACCTCTACATGTACAATGTACATGTATCTCTAATGTTTCTGAGAGAGAGAGAGAGATTTTGGAAATAAAAATTGAATTTGAAACAAAATACTGGGTACCGGTATACAATGTGTACCGTACATGTATAGAAATGTATATCTGATATATAAAAAAGTTACTTTCTACAAGCATGAGTACACATTACATGTACATGTACGTGTAGGCCTACACATGTACATGTATGCACATTGTACACAGCTCCCCAGAATCATCTCGTACATGTACATGTACATGTATTTGTAAAGTTGCCATGAAAATCAGTGGAGAAATCTGTCTTTGTTTTCCTGAATACCCAATTAGGGGGAATAGATGAACTTAACTTAATTCAGACAAATTGGTTGCAATTTAGGATTTTTTTAGAAATTGTTGTCTGGGAAAATAACCAAACACAAACAGTGAAATTGACATTGAAATACAGACTCGCATTATATTAGGGGTATTTGTCCTAAAAGTGGTGTTTGATAATAAATGTGCATCTTTACAGGGAGAAGAAAATGAAAGAACAAGTTTTCTTAATGCTTTTAAAAATCTTTACGGTATGAATTGTTAGGATACAAATGCATGCACCATATTTGTTCAAAAACCCAAGAAAGTTCTCAAATGACCCAACGTATTGTAAATGTAAATGTTTTGGCATTGGAGAGCAACACATGTACAGGTATGGGTACAGTATGTACACAAGCATTTCTATTGACGGCTGTACAGTGTATGAAGCGCTGGATTTCTCTCGCCCAAACCAGTTAATAATTCCATGCCAGTGGTTGCTATGGCGATGGCAAGCATTTCATTAGCGAGTTTTAGATCGAGGCCTGCATACAGTATGTACAGTGTACACTGTGTCTTGACTAGAACTGCAATGGTGTTTTATTCAGGCTTGATATAATTTGGATTATATATTTATGAATGTGCTCTTCAATGTGAGCTCAATTATTAATCCCACAAATGGTATTGCCCATATGGATGCAAATGCAAAGTACTTAGAGAGAGAGAGAGAGGGAGAGAGAGCGCGCGACATAGAGAGAGGGAGAGAGAGAGGGGGAGGAGAGGGGGAGGGGAGGGGAGAGGAGAAAGAAAGTGAAGGGGGTGGAAATAATGGGGAGGTAAAAAAAAAAATGATGAAACAAAGACATGTGAGGTACAATGTAATTGTTACATGTAATTATAGATATTGGGTGAGAAGGGAGTTACAATGTATACATGTAAATGTAGATAAATGTAGAGAGAGAAATACATGATGACCATGAAACAATAAGAAAGAGAGAGAGAGAAAGAGAGAGAGAGAGAGAGCTTTTATGGTATTTTGTAGGAAACTACAGTAGACTGATTTTCTTCTATTTTCTTTATGGATAAAATTGAAAATACAGTATGAGTCAAAATAAACTAACCCCCTAACGCGTGTAATGTTTGCAATACGTTAATTATATATTTAACGTGTGTAGGCGTTACCCGTTAGCGTTACCCGTTACCCGTTAGTTTTGTTAGTTTTGTTAGTTTTGTTAGTTTTGTTAGACGATCTTCTAAAATTGACAGAACGAAGGAACGATATATGCGCTTCAAGAAAATGATGCCTAAATTATCTGAAACATTGTAATTATCATCTCAAAATATGAGCATGAGTATGTTCAAAATTATTTACGATAAAACAATGCCAAACTAATCTGAAGACCCCCCCCCCCAAAAAAAAAAAAAAAAAAAAAAAAAACACACACACACACACACAACACAACAACAACAACAACAACAACACCACCAAAACAATAAGAAAACACATTTTAGGCTAAGGATTCTGGATAAAAGATTGATGAAAATATTTTCAGAAATGAAAATGGTATTTACAAAAAGAATCTGTGTTGTATTTTTCACTATTTTTGAACTAGTGTTTTAATTTGACCAGGAATACACTGTAGTATGCACACATTATATGTATCAAAAGAAAAAGAAAGAAAATGAAGCTAAGAGAGAGAGAGAGAGAGAGAGAGAGAGGTACATGTAGAATCATATGTGTGAGAGTGAGAGGAATGAAGATAAGTAAATTGACATGACCATTTAATAAGATTTGTAAAAAGCTTCAGTAAGTTTAAGTTGTCAGTCGATGACATTGATGGGTGAAAACTTATTGAATATGACTTGAGTAGAAGAAGCATTATTGGATTGAGAGGCAGATACTCTATCTGCCTCTCAATCCTTGACGACTATGAAATTACATACATGTAGGTGTGGGAAGTCATTTGTGGGCAGCAAATCAAATTATGACTCTGTGTGAGATCCCTGGACTGTGTTCGATTCACTTGCATTGTATCTCTGATCTCTTATCCCTTTTTTCATATTTACTGTCAAATGAACTTGAATCTGGAACTACATGTACATGTAGTGATCTGAGAGCTAGTCGGAAAGGTATCATCAATTCAGCATCACTTTGCTCTGCTCTTAGTCTGGATTTCTAGACCATTTATATTCACTGAAGGAAGTTGAACCTGGAATAAGTTCTATATCTATATACATGTACATGTACATGTAGCTACCAGTAATAGAAAGCATCAGGATCACTTTGGTCTGCTCTTAGTCTGCATTTCTAGACGTTTTATACTCATTGTTAAAGGAGGTCGAGTCTGGAATCAGTCCTATATCTATTAAAGCAAATATGAAAAGTATCAGCATCTCTTTGCTCTGCTCATATTCATTTTTTTTCTTCTTTTAACTGCTTCTAGAAGAGGTAAAGTGAAGATTGCAGAGCAACTTTGCCTGCAGTGTCCATTAATTTAACAGTATCAGCGCAACACCTGTACTTATTGCAGGTGAGAATATCTCCTTGGGGATGGCAGTAAAAGAAAATCAGAAACCTTTTCATTACAGAAATATGCACTCAAACATTGTAGTCTGTGTACTAGTGTGCAGACCTTTAGGCTCTAGTAGTCTACAACCAGCATTGATAGTTTTGCTTATTATTTTATCTTGCAGAATCTTGAAGGAGGCGTGTGACTTCTCGACTTTTTTATCGGCAAACAGCAGGCCATCAATGAAGAAGCGTTGAAAATTGTCATCAGCGACTTCAACTAACCATGGCTGACATGTATGAGCAACCCAGTCGTAAGTGAACCCCTTCTCTTGTTTGTTGGAATACCAATCTGTATTTTTTTGTAGATGAAAAATGTTGGTAGACAAATCTATGTTTATGCTATTTATCATAAAGTGGTCATGAAAGTGAAAGAAAACAATTCGGTGGAATGGAAATCATCCAAATATACACTTTATACATTGTACATTGTACAGGTACATTTTGAGAGATGATTGGTACTTAAACCAGGAGCGGCAGACATTAGGCACATAACACGATCCTCAAAACACAAGAATCTTTCTTTTTATTTGTCTGTACTTGTCTGTTTTCCTTTCCATATAGTCTACCCCTTAATAGGAGGGAATACAGACTCGCTAAACTTTTAATCTTGTCCTCATCAGAGTAAATCGCAATGAACAGAAAGCTAATCAGACATTATAAAGGAACAAAGCGTGAAGAAGAAGAAATGCTGTGATTGGCTATTGGAAAGTAGGCGTAATGCCAGCCTCACTACTGATAAGGCCTCTTGGGATATTCTAGCTAGTATTCCTACAGCCCATTTTCATTAAGCATCAGGCATTACATCTTCTTTCCAGCAGCCAATCACAGTCCATTATTTTTCAAGCGCTTTTTTCCTTTAGCTTCTGTTTATATTGTCAGATTTGGGCGTTCTGTTCATTCTTGCAATTTACTTTGATGAGTGCAAGACGAAAAACTTTAGCTTGGCTGTATTTTTTGCAATTCTTGAACATGTATATGCACATGTACCTGTAGTGTCTTTAATTTTTAGATCATATGAAAGTCTTTCAGCATGATCTCGTAATACAGGTTCAAGAGATGCAGAGATAGTTCTTTGTAGACAGGTTTTCTCTATGTATCGCTTATGACATATTGACTAATAAGTTTGGCTGTACCTAGATCTGTACATTGTGTCATCAGTTGTCTGAAAAGAAATAATTGTGCTGCAACCATTATAGAATATCCACTTTGGTTATTAAATGATCTTTCATTTGGTTGTGTGTGTATTGTTTTCTTGATTTGACTCTTCTTCGTTGTAGAGCTTTCCCACGAGGATCCGGCCATGTATGCGGAGCTAGGGAATTTTGCTATTGAGAAGAGAATCGGAAAGGGACAATTCAGTGAGGTATACAGGGCAAGATGTCTCATCAACGACAGGGTCACGGCACTCAAGAAAGTCCAGGTGAGTAAGAATGACAATCATAACAATGATAATAATAAAAGTGCGTTCTTGTATAGCGCTCTTGTTTGTTAGACTCGACACTCCTGGCGCTCCACAATTATTATCTTGGCTTTAACATGGCAGCCGTCGACGCGCTCTAGCATTTCAACAAATCAATTCATGTCAGGTTCTCATTTACGTTACCTGGGTGGAGAGTGGCAAATGTAGATTAATATCTCGCCAAAGGACAGACTTGACACTTCTGGTGCTCCACAATTGTGTACTTTAAACATGGCTGCTATTATGGCGCTCTAGCATTCCGCATGGAATCATTAATATGAATAGACATGTTTTAAAATATTTTACTTGATATTTTGTTTAATCCATGCTCTACATGTATAAAGGTTATCACTTATCAGTTTGATAGGGTAATCAGTAATAATAGAATATTAAATGTTGATGGGTGGTAAAGTATGGGACAAAATACTCTGACTATACTCCTATTATTAAATGATCATATTAAAGATAAACTTTAGTACTGGTAATGCGATTGCATTGTGAAAGAAAAGGTGTGGAAAGGATCAGAAACAGTTGATCATGTAGCATGTAAGTATTGGTGTGCACTGCAAGGTTCTGGAGTCATCAAAATCATAATAAATTTGACTGAGTCTTGGTAAAGTAACAAGCACTCACATAGAAAGTTATATATGGGACAACACACATGGTGTCGGGGCTAGTACTACCTTGATTTCCTTGTCTTTCTATGCTCATTACTCAGCCAGTATACAATTTCTTCCAAAATTGTTTGGCACATGTCATTTATTTGTAATCTTGAACATTCAGTGTAAGTTTCGTTTGATTCTGTGAGAATTAATTATTATTTTTTTACCAGTACTGGAGTTTATCTTTAAGCAATGTGACAAAACAAGGAAAACATCACCTTTTGATGAATGTCCAGATTACCAATTCACTTGAAATCTTCCAACATTATGTTCCCAATTTTTAGAATAGACTAATATACAATGAAAGGAATCTTGATTAAAACAAGCTGCTTTGGATAAAGAAAATTGCCTGATCAGTCCTCAAAATGTAAAGAAAGGTGAAGATAGAAGGGGAAAAAAACAAATAAAAAATGAAAATACAAAGAAGCAGGACTTGCAAATTGACCCTGCTGTAAGGAGAGATTATTATAACCAATGTTCTTATGATAAGGTTACGTTGTACAGTTTTACTTCTGGAAAACAAACAGGGGGGGGGGGGTAAACCTGCCTAAAAGGCTGCCATAAACATGATATTTAGGTCAGCATTATTTTGTTTAATTATTTTAATCTTGTATTGATTTTCCTTGGCACAGATATTTGAGATGATGGATGCAAAAGCAAGGAACGACTGTATAAAGGAAATTGATTTATTGAAGGTAACATTTTAAACACTTTCCCTTTTTTAGCTTTTAATTATTTGTTTGAAAGGCTGTACACGTAAAGCTTGATTATTATTTTGTTGATATCAAAGAATACACCCATAACTCTGACATACAATGAATCTTATATAATGTTGATATACATGTACATGTTTTTGAATTTTATTCTAATCAATATAGATAGGCAATTAGGCATAGGATACCTTTTATAAAAGAGTACCGTAACAATTGCCGGGTATGTACGTTAATGTGTCCTTGGATAGAAACTAAATATACAAATTTATATCACATTATTTCCATTTTCAATATATTGTACTGCATAATTTTTGAAATAGTTCAATTACTTTTTGAAAAAACAAGTACTGTACACCTAAAAACATTGCAATAACTATAACATTGGCAGATTATAAGTGTAACGCATTCATTGATGTGTTATTTCCTTAAGATTTCAAATGTGAATTGCGTATATGAATTTACACATGTACATGGAAGTAAATTTCACTAACTTGGGAATGTTTTGTCTAGTTTCCTAGAAATGCTCAGCATTTGGTTGTGTTAGACTGTTGAAGTGAAACAAGAAAATCATTCTTTCTTTATTTCCATTTCTTAGTCTTTTTTCTTCTTATTTTTTTTACTTCACTTTTTCTTCTGTTAGTCTTTGGACCACGATCATGTGATTAAGTATTTGGCATCGTTTATTGAAAACAATGAGCTGAACATTGTACTAGAGTTGGCTGATGCAGGAGACTTATCAAGAATGATTAAGGTAAGATGAATTTCCCTGTTACATGAATGCATGTGCTCATTTTATTTTCTGCCAAGAGCTGGTGAAGCCATAATTAAATGCACCTTATAGAGTTGTTAGCAGACAATTTTCTTGATGCACTGTGTTTTTTTAATAAAAAAAATATAAATCAATAGAAATATAATGTCTGAAAGGCCAATTGTAAAGCACAAAGGAAGTTTAAATTTAACCCATGTTTTAAATCTTCATTTACATCCCATGGTCTAAAATTAGCACAAGATAAGTGCAAACACAGTCAGAGGTCCAATATTAGATGCGCACAAGGCAAGGTACATGTACCTGTACATGTACGCTTATTTTTGTGCTAATATTTAAACCATGGGTTACATGTATGTTAAACCTCCTTTGTGAATTCGGGCTATAAAGTTTCATGATTTGCAAAAATAAAGTGTTCTTTCGATTGTGATTCTTGTATTTTGTGGCATGAAACAAATTGCAACCTGTTTAAAAAGTTTCATGCTCGCAAATTTGTTGGGTTTTTACAGTAGTTGCATTTCTTTCTCCTATTTCTTCATCACCATCTTGAAGAGTTACCAATATGACAAGAAAATTGAAATGCCAAATAATTGTCGCGACAATGTGGGCTTATCCCAATTTTTGAAATCAATTTCCTGTTGTTGTGTTCTAAATGGAATCGCAACTCCTATTCTGAGAAGACAGGCATTTCATCTTTTACGAGCAAAGTCATTCCTTGATCCTGTAGTATCATCCTGGGGTTTGGATGGATGTCATACTTGAATGCCAGAGTGCATGACATCATCTTATTGAAGTGGGACTTCCCCCTTATCTCGACCGTATGAGGAAGGAATTCATCGGAACCCAGATCCCATGTGGGGGCTCACTGACTGGCTCAACAGGATATTGGAATTCTCCCCTAATAAATCCGGGATGTGAAAATCGGTCTGAATCAAGTCTGGAATGGGCTTGGATGTTAAAGAGAAGGTTGAGTTCTGGGAAGAGATGAAAAATAATTTGTGAGCGTAATTATCATTGTATTATATACAAGTCTGGAAGAACATCAGATACAAAGTGTTCCCTGAAGAGCATGTCTCTTCAGATGTCTTAATATTGTAAATATGGCATGTAACATCGTAAATGTCTGGACAGATTTTTATGCCACATGTTCGTGTAGTCCCATATACATCTTTCTGTGTACAGTGCTTGTAACTTTACCAAGACTGGGCCAAATTTCTTATCATTTTGATGATTTCAGAACCTTGCAGTGCACACCAATACTTATCAACAATTTCTGATCAAATCCACAACGTTTCTTTCACAATGCAATCGCATGACCAGGGGGGTGTTTCACAAAGATTCTAAGTTGAACTTATCTCTAAGTTGGACTTAAAAATTATGGAAAGCCGTTAGCATCTTTGAAAATATGTTGTAAAAGTTATTTTGAAAGGCATAAAATGTTGATTCAAATCATTCATATTTTCTATCATCAAGGAGATTTCATGTTCTTGATGTGGAATTTATAAAAAAAGTCTAAAATACTTGAATTTCTGCTTTTGAATACATTTCATTTTAAGGCTCCAATGGCTGTCCATAATTTTTAAGTCCAACTTAGTGTTAAGTTCTACTTAGGATCTTTGTGAAACACCCCCCAGAACTCAACTTTATCTTTAAATCAGGAGAGAAAAGGAGTTTGAGAGGAATTTATTGTGATGGGTGAAATGACTTCTCGGTAGGAACTAGGAAACAAGAGGGATAAACTCCAGGTTATTCAGGGGTTACAGCCTTAGGTTCATGTAGAGGTTAGGTTCAGAAGCCCAACTCTAATAAATGTAAATGTAATGCAGTGATTTGTTTGAATGTATTCCGTTTGATTTGGATAAAGCTCCTTGTTTGGTCAGTTTAGAGTCAACTATATGGGCCCTGTTTTATAATTTTTTTTATCAATAACAAATGCTCAATTTTTATGTCAAATTTGCTCTCCGCCTGTCAAATGCAATGATTTCAGTACCTTTTGTAACTTGTTATTGATAACAAATTTTTTGAAACGGGGCCCTGGTCTGTTTCTTCCGTTTACTTCTTATCTGCTATCATGCCCATTGTTTCTACTCTTCTCATGTCTTTCTATCTCTATCCCTCCCCTCATCTGTGTCTCTCTTGCTGTTCTCCAATCAGTTGTTCATGTTTACTCTAAATATACATCCCTACTGTAATCATTTTCTTCTTTCTCTTCATATCTTGCTTTTTCCCACTTTTCTTTCCTTTTATACCTCGTTTCTAATAGTTTTTTTTTCTTTCTAGATCATATATATTTTTTGCTGTTTTGTCCTGTCTTTTCATAGAAGTTCTCTAATTTTTCATCTTCATTTGTACTGCTGATTACTGTTTGTGTCTGACACCAACTATTACCTTGTCCCCTTTTTGATGTTTACAATAGACCAGCTCACGGTTAGCACATGTCCCAAATGACCCTGAATATCCACAGATCGTCAAAACATAAAGAGGTCCCACTTTGTACATTTTGAAATAATTACTCCTACAGGGATGGAGGTGCTAAATAGATAGCCTTTGTTTCCCCTTCTCAAAGAATACTTCCACCTGTATATCATGGAGTGCACTGCTTGTGCAGAAATGAATAATTATTACATAACTTTCATGAGCATTTTGTCTCCATGTATTTCACAATTTGGACGGCAATGACCTTTATCTGCTCATGCTCAGACTGCAACCGTGAATTGGCTTATTATGTTTGTCGACATGTTCCATCCAATTTTGATTGACCATGCTATTTTCCTCTGTGGTGCAGCATTTCAAGAAGCAGAAGCGGTTGATACCGGAGAGAACCATATGGAAGTACTTTGTCCAGCTTTGCAGCGCACTAGAACACATGCATCAGAAGAGAGTCATGCACAGAGGTATCACTTCAACTTTTTATATATTTTTTAAAGCTTGTCTGCACTAGTTTAGCCAGGGGGATTAGACCTCCCTGCAAGGTCACTGATAGGTGGTTATCTCATCAAATCAGTTATCAAGTAACATTGAAGAAAAAGGGGATCATGGGGGACCAACATGCACCGATTGGGGAAGTTTTCTATATAGAGCAAGCAAGTAGCTACAAGTAGGACAGTGGGGCTTTAAATAGTGGAGTGAGATTGTAAAGTGATCTCCAAGCATAATATTGCATCCTCATACCTGGGATTACTTAACAATCTCACTCCACTATTACTCAGAGCCACAATTCACAATTCACTATTCACTCAGAGCCACAAATATGTGTGGGTTCCTTTAATATGTAAGTGGGACACCAAACATGTCACAAAGTGGGTCCCTGATTCATGGAATTACCCATTTACATTGCAAATAGATAATAGCCATCTTCAGACAATGACATTCAAAAATTGTTGAATGTTGTAGAGGTTGCATAAATATGAATAGGGATGTTGATTTTGGTCATGACAAAGGATCTTAACTTTATCATTAATTAATGATCTTGATACACTGTAAGTGTAATAGTAAGCAAGAGCTTTATAAGAATATTCTACCTTTCATTTATCATGCCTAGGGTTAGTAAGAATACATATGAAAGAGTTTAGTGCTGTAGTTTTTGTTCTTAATACTGTTACAATTATCATGAATTACAATAATTCCTCATCTTTTCACAATGAAATTCAAAGAACAATTACAATAGGTATGGGGAACTACCTAAAACTGTACTGTGAAGGACGTATTTCGTATCCTTGCTAATGTTTTTTGGCAAGGCATTAATCTTCATTTGCCACACTCTACCCCGGTGAGGTAAATGGGTACCTGACAGGAATTAATTCCTAGAAATGCTGGAGTGCTGTAATGGCAGCTAGGCTAAAGCCGAGGTAATAATTAATGTGCCTCGGAATAGAATTTCTAGATGGACGGCGCTTTAGAAATGCCTATAATTATTATTATTATTATTATTATTCAGACATCAAGCCTGCTAATGTATTCATCACTGCGGATGGCAAGGTCAAGCTGGGTGACCTGGGTCTGGGGCGTTTCTTCAGCTCCAAGACCACCGCTGCACATTCCCTGGTTGGCACTCCGTACTACATGTCACCCGAACGCATCCACGAGACGGGGTATAACTTCAAGTCGGACATCTGGTCTCTCGGCTGCTTGTTATATGAGGTAAGATGCTGTTTTCATTATGACTGGGACCACAGTACGTTTTCTTTGAAGGAGGTTTACATGTATTAGCCTAGTATAATGGTCTTCTATCATAAATTTGAAACCACATCAGTACTCTAATAATAATAATAATAATATACCATACTGATATAGCACATATCACAATATGTCTCTATGGGCTGTATTAAAGGTAATACAAAGTTTTGGTATGGGGTCACGAATTTGGTTCAAATGAACATATTGGAAGCATATGCGATCCTTAAATATTCAGTGATCGTTGTCGCGGTTGAAATCGAGTCTAAAGTTATGAAATTGTAAATAATGAACTCTTTATGTTGTATAGCTCCCTCTCAAGGTCAAGATATTAATTAAGCTATAAAGCAATGTTTCTTAACTAACATCGACCGATTAGCTATTCCCGTTTGGAAATTATATATCACAACTACATATTCTAAAAGTTCCATGGTTGCAGCTACCATTGTACGACCGTAGGCGCTATTTGAAAAATTTCAAAATTTACCAGGAGCACCGGTAAATTTTTATATTCCATTTTTCTCGAAAGCAGAAGTGTTTTAGGGGCTACAGGGCGCGACAAACCCGCTTGCCCGACGTCCCGGGGCAACCAAATTGAGCCGTCGGGCAAGTAAATCAAATTATCACTTGCCCGATTCGGGCAAGTGATACTTTTACAGTAATTTCCTAGTGTCCAAGAACTCTACCATTCACCCGTCAACTTCTTACCCGTCGTCAAAATCCAGAAGCAAAAAAGCGATCGTTCCGATTTCGAAAAAACTTCACAGACAGCTAGCCAGCTCAGCTAGCTCAGCGCGCATGCAACAGTGACACTTCAAGCCATGAATGCCGCTCCGCCTCCACGCACGGCCGGCCGTGAGCTAGCTAGAGACAGCTAGCGCGATCGTACCAGCTGCGAGCTTATTCGCGCGCTCTCTCTCTAGCTCTGCAGGCCGCACCGACAGGCCTTTGCTATTCTCTGATTGCCGATTGGTTGAATCACGCCAAATATGACGTCATTATTCTAGGGAAATGAACACGTGCGAATCGGAATGGAATAAACAACAGGGATTTTCTAGTAAGTACAAAAAGTCAAATGTTTGATATTTATTCATAATGACTGTTAATGATTGTGAACATATTATTTAAAACTCGCTGCTCATATAAATCAGATGAATGTTTTTGTCTCGTTTTCAATTTATGGAGAATCAATAAAATACGTTTTTTAAACCTTCAACCATCCTTTGTTGACCATTTTCTTTGACATATTAGGTTATTATTCAGTACAGTTACACTGTACATGTATGTGCATTAATTTGCTATCTAAAACACTAACTTATCATTACGAGATAATAAATGCTTTAACCTCGAGTCCTTTTTCGCTTTAAAGTTTTGGGCAAGTGGAAATATTGTTTGGGCAAGTAAATTGAAAACCCACTTGCCCGACAGGGCAAGTGGTGAAAAAAATTCTTGTAGCACCCTGGGCTAAATTTTCTTGCGCTTATAATACATCTACGGGGGAATCCAAATATATCAAAGCTGTAAAGAATCACTATCTACCCAATTTTCAAAATTTTCCAAAACGTTGTATTACCTTTAAAGAAATAGTAAGAAGGAAAGGTGGATAGAGTAACATAAGAAGAGTGAGATTAGCTCAACATACTTCCTCTCGATAACATTGGAAAGTATTTTTGAAAAGAAATGTTTTAAGACGCTGTCATTAGGAAAAGTATCGTATCTGTTTTGCGTAGCCCTTTCATACTTTTTTATATTACATAATCCTATGTTATTATTTTAACCCTGATAAGAATAGGGATATATAAGGCAATTGCTGTAATTGTAAACTGGATAGAGATGGCAAGATCCACTCTTTCCCTTGGTCATAATCGCAGGGAAAATTGTGTTTCTAACATAATTGACTCGATCAACTCAGTGGCAATTTCAATACCCTATTGTACATCCCATAGGAAATCATGTTTTGGTTTACGTAATACCGCATTGTCATAGTTACACATTTTAATAGGCGACGCACAAGGCTATTTAAATAGCCTTAGGTTAATTATTTTGAAAGTAGTAATTGAGATTGTATTTTCTATTCACAATCCTCTATAATTCAGGATTTTTATATTGAAATTTCAAATTATAGCCGATGTGGATTGATGCATGATACAGATTTGATCTTAATCATATTAAAGTGCACATTTGTTTTGCTAATTTTTGTTTATACAAGCAACAATTGACCTTTGAATTTGTGTTAGCATGTATGCACAATTGCACATATATGTGGCATTCTATTAAAACATTGGAATTGCAAGATTTACTCTCATATTTTGGTACACAAAGCATGCATGTACACTGTATGCTTGTACATCGTTCTGTCACCCATCTTGTATCCGTTCCTGCTCCCCCTCTCCCATATCTCTCTCTATCTCTCTCTCTCTCTTTCTATCTCTTTCTATCTCTTACACTCTCTCTCCCTCCCTCTCTCTCTCTCTCTCCCTCCCTCTCTCTCTCTCTCTCTCCCTCCCTCTCTCTCTCTCTCTCCCTCCCTCTCTCTCTCTCTCTCCCTCTCTCTTTCTCTCTCTCTCTCTCCCTCTTCTCTTTCTCCCCCCCCCTTTCTCTCCTTTTCCCTCTCCCTCTCTGTGACCTTCAATGAAGAGGAAGTCATACAGGTGCTAAACTTCCTTTTTCCAATGCTGAATTTAGAAAAATATCAAAACGAACAACAAATTATTGAATGGAGTTCATCCAAATTGCCTAGTATGTAGCTTATAGATAGATGTCCATGTACATAGTTTTTGTTATTCTTTTGGAACTCTCATAGAATCAAACTTCAATTTTTAAAATAATTTTTTTTAAGCACTGTGTTTCTTTGTTGCATTTGCATATTGTATATGTAGTATGCCTTTTTCCTTTTTCTATTGCATAGATTGTGAAGTTATAAGTCATTGTTCGTTTGATAGTGTACGTACATATGTACATGTACATGTACATGTATGCAACTGAACAAATATGAAATGTTGATTGTGTGTGAAACTCTCCAAAAAATCTCACTTGAATTCCTATAAAATGCCATCATTACACTCTAGACTTCAAATTCTCGCCTTGCACACTCCTCCAAATTCCCCTGGACGATAAATAAAAGCTACAGTATAATGGCCTTGTATTTTATTTTCCTTGCCTCCCCCTCCCCCCCCCCCCCCCCCCCCCTTGCCACCATCCCCCTCCCCCTCACACACACACTGGCTTGTGTGTACATTGTTCAGATGGCAGCCCTACAGTCCCCCTTCTACGGGGATAAGATGAACCTTTACGCCCTTTGCAAGAAGATTGATAAATGCGATTACCCGCCCCTTCCCGCCGATCATTACACTGAGGAGGTAGGGTGGTTTGTTGTCAGTTGTTGCCATGGTTATTGGTGGTTTGTCATGTCGCAATATCAGTTTGTTGTGTAGCACTATACATGTATATACTAGAGTTTACGTGTGTGATCATCTTGTGTATTAACTTAACACACCACTAATGGAGTGCATTTATCTCTCCCTCTTTCCACATTTCTCTCCTTTTCTCCATCTTGTTGTGACCCCATCTGTATTTCTTCTTTTATGTTTATGTGTTTGTCTTTCTTTATCTCTTTGTATCTCCCTCTCTCTCTCACACACTGCCTCTCTCTCTCTCTCTCTCTCTCTCACTCACTCTCTCTCTCTCTCTCTTTTGCATCTCTCTTTGTGTCTCTCTCCGCCTCTCTTTTTCTGTCTCTTTCTGTGTCTCCATCTCTCTTTTTGTTTCTCCCTTCTCCCTCGCCTTCTCTCCGTGTGACTATATGTGATCCCATCCTTGTCGCCGTCTTTTGTGCTGCACCATATTCGCCTTACACCAACCCCCCAAAATTCATGTGTGTGCAATAAAAAATGATTTGAAAAAAAATTAAACAAAAACCCAAAATACTTTATCTGCCATTTGAAAACTAACTATCGACTCACGGAAATAATCCCTCTCAAAAATATTATATTATTGGTTGATGTGACTGGCACACGTACATAACAAACATGATTACGCCCTCGCCTGGTGCAATCATGTCATTGTGGGGTGTGTGGTGAACTATAGATGGCAGCATTGCATTCGCCGTTCTATGCGGAGGGTTTGGATTTGTACTCTCTTTGTCAGAAGATTGATAAATGTGAATACCCTGGCTTGCCGGCCCACTACTCAGATGAGGTAAGTTCATCTCCATTTTGACAAACTTTGAAATGTTGGAAGGTAAGCAACAGAGGAAAAAATAAAAATACAGTAAAACCTGTCTACAGCAACCGCCCAAGGGAAACACAAAAAGTGGTCTTTTTAGACAGGTGGTCCTTGTAGACAGATTCCTTTAGTACTGTACATGTTTCAATGAGAAACCATTTTCAAGGGAAACAAAAAATGTGCTTGCTGTAGACAGGTGGTCACTAAAGCATGTTTGACTGTAGTAGATTTGCTGAATTTTTGCTTTTAAAGGGGAAATCTACCCTGATAATAATTTTGGTTTTGATAAAAGCAGAAAAATGAGAGAAACATGTCAGTGAAAAATTGAACAAAAATTTGATTAGAAATAAGAAATTAGGATTTTTTGAAATTGCAATCAATTAAACATGAATTGGCAACTCTGTGTCATACCTTGCAAGCTCACCTCCCATTTGCCCTTTTAATACAAAAAACTTCAAAAATTCATTTTCCAATCATACACCCTGAATATAATTATACAACCCCTGTATGAAAATTGAAACAAATTTATTCCATCATCAGTTACTACTTTATGTTTCAAAGATGACAACTTCAAAAATTCATAACTCTCCTATTTTTAATTGGACTTTGCTCAAACTTTCACTCATTTGTTCCTTTAATTTTTCTATTTTTATTAAAACCATTTCATATCAGGGTGGACTTCCCCTTTAATAATATTGAGAACTGGCTTATGTTATCAAAAGTGTGAAGTCCGGGAATCATTTCTTTTTCACTGTTTACCTTTTCTTAAGTAGCAGAGATGCTATAGTTTCAGATTATATAAAGTCCATCTTTTCAAAATCATATCTTGTTACTAGTCTCATTTAATACCTGTATTTATACTAATTATGCATGTACATATACTTTTATATTGTCATTAGTGTAGTGTTATATCAGTTTTCAGAACCATTTGTTTCTAACTTCATCTATGGTTGTGGGCTAAAATTTCTAAATTTCCAGAAAGTAAACAAATATTGAACTGATTGATGGATTGATTGAGAGTAATCCTACATGTATTTGTCCACACGTGTAGTATGAAATAATCAGAAATATTGTGGACTTAAGTTTGGCCTTACCCCAGGATTCACTTAAATACCCAAAAGACACAATTCTCTTTTGCCATTCTTATCCATGATTCGAGTGAAACATATGCCTAAAAATTGTGTGCATTCCCAGACAGTTTGAAGAAAACAGTTGTGCTTGATTCAGTCATTTTTTCCACCCTCAAAATGCTCACTATTACATATTGTCTGTTGAGAGCCAGAAGGGTATTAACTTGGTGTAAAAATTTACAAGGCTATGCCCTTCTGGCTCCATACAGAATATACATTCATTTAACTACACCTGTACATGTAGATTATGACTCACACCTTTACTAGTTCCATTTCTGTCTTGTAAATGTTTATTTGATTTGTGTGAAGTTTTCATGTGAGGATTAATACTAGCACAACTCCGATTAATATTTGTTCATTAGTTATAGTAATATCAACTTTCTGTATTTTACTTATTAATATTTTTTTTCTTCATATTTTTTGATTTTTTTTTTTATTTTTTTTGATAACTTATTTATTTATTTTTTACTTATTTATTTATTAATATATTCATTTACTTGATTATCTTTTCATTTATTCTTTTTCTTCTCCAATTTGAAGTAGTGAAGAAAAATGTAAGCCTCAATCTTATTTAAAGTACCCTCATATTTTGATGTTTGTGTCAAAATTATCGCGAATGTGAGTTTATCAATGGAAATACACTCTAAGAAACTGGAGATCAACCTATGAGAAGAATGTGAATTTTTATTGTCTCTTTCACATGAACCAATTATGAATTTGAAGGAAAAAAACAACGACACCATTTTGACAACATCAAAGTTTATCCTCTATAGAAAGAAATGATAACAATTTGGTTTTTGATTATTTCATAGTCCACAGGTAATTATTGAGCAATTTCAGTAATTTTGTCACTCTCTGTAGCTCCTTCTCTCTCATTGGTACTAATTGAATGGAATCATGAAATAATTAATAAATGTAATATTCAGGGATGCCCGTTTTCAGGCAAAAGCCGGGATTCAGGCCCTGGGGAATTATTTTCAGGCTATAGTTTATGCTTTTTTGTGTTTTTTTTTTTCTTCATGCCCTCTGATCAATTCTAACTGGCATCCTTGAATACTGAATTTTAAAATTTGATAACATGAGTTAACATTCTTTTTCTCCTTATTCATATAATTTTCAGCTGCGTAACCTGGTTGCAATGTGCATTCATCCAGACCCCAACCTGAGACCTGACGTCTCCTATGTCCTGGAGGTGGCCAAGAGAATGCATATGCAGAGTGTCCAGTCAAGTTAGTCCTTCTAGCAGTCCCACCCCTTCCTTTCCATGTCCCCGTGTATGTACTAACAACGATACCCCCAAGGCAAGGCCACGGCCGTCTTGCGCAGTGTTGAGTATTGAAGGTGGAGTGCATCGATCGTATACAGGGTTCATTTTTCAGTCACGCCACCACCACCATACCGACTCTAAACTGACCGATACATAGTCCTCGGGGCACTGTAACGGTCAGTTCGGTCTGTGACTTGAGGTACTACAGAACACATGGTTGCACCACCTATCGCAGATATTACATTGCATGGGAGCAGCAAGTCAAGTGCATTACACATCAGATCCTGGGGGGTGTTTCACAAAACTTGTCATCAGTGACAAATGACAGTATCTGTTATAAGCTACTGAAATCCTTGCTTCTGATTGGTTATCAGCAGATTTGTCACTGTTTTTGTCATTTTGTCATTGAAAATAGGCTTTGTGAAATGGGCCTCTGCTCTAGAGTATCCTCACTCGTTGATTACTTGTAGGGTTGGTCTTGTGTGAATGATAACCATAACTAATACTATCAATCGGTTTTGCTGAAGCTTGTGTGGAAAAGGTAGTCGAGACCCCACCAATCAGATATGTTGAAGGTTCATTAGCATGACATAGCATAAATCCATGAGCTGGAACATGTAACTCTGATATTCAATCGATTTTCCACAGGAGGTGTGATGGCTCAGTGTTAGAGCAGTGGTCTCATAAGCGGGAGATCCCGGGTTCGAAACCAAGTCAATGCGCTCGTGCCCTTTGGTAAGGCATTGATCTTCATTACCAAGTCCTTTGAAGAGGACTTACAGCCGTTGATCCCCTTGTTGCTTACATGTACTTACAAGCATACACATGCTTTCTTAGCAGTCGGGTAAAACAAACAACCAAACAAATTTGTCCACATGAATTTCAGAAGACAATTTGATTGTTCTAGTTATCGTTACCATCAAATAGGACTAGCCCTTTAATTCTGGAACCACTGGTATTCATAGGCAGTGGGTGAAGAGGATTTATGTTATTAAAGCCATTGCCTACTGGACCCGGGTGGCCCCTGTATTAAGCCTATGTCAATGAATGAATCCAGTAGTCAACTGGTTAACAAGTCAATGTAAACCAAGAAATTTTCTTCAAAACGTCAGAGGCGACATTTACCCTTAGAATCAATCTGTTTTACATGGTTCTTTGTCCAATAGTGCCCTTAATAGTCTAGAGTGATGTGTTCATTAACATGCTATGCCTATTCAGAGTCTTGTAACGTAAAATTGCAATTTTTCAAGTACAATGTAGTATAATATAATGCGTATACTTCTGTGGTGAATTACAATGACAGTTTTGTGATCAATATATTGGACAAGTGATTCATCTTTGATTATAGCCTTTGGGTCATTGCGAGTCAAGTATTGTACATACATGCACCGGGTTCTATCGAAGGTGCAGAAGGATGAATCTTTTATTGCACCATTCTCTATATGTGGGGACTACATGTTAACTATTGTATTGTAATGTATGAGGTCAATGTGGGGATGTAGGCCTACTGTACACGTTTCCAAACATGAACATGAAGTTATAGAAATCATGAGACTCGATGCACTTTGTAGGGATTATCCCGTTTATTTTATGATGAAACTTTGTGTGTGAGCAGCCTTAGACTTTAATTTTTGCTTTGGAATTCAAGCCCAAAAAATTTACATTTCAAGTTTTTATTTTTTCCAGATTTTGCAATTGAAATGATGTCACCCATTGTATATTAAGTAAGATAGCAGGGGAAGAAATAGCGAGTTATTCCTGTGAGTTTCCTGATCGAAAAGAAGAGAGAAAGAAATATTGATGTTTCCGTCCAGGCTTTGAGTGGTATTAGGAATAGAGGAGTTCAGATTCATTACAGGAAAAGAGGTTTGATATTTGGTTCCAGTGAGGATTGCAACAGTGATGCTTTGTATAGCTTGATTGTAAACATTCTTATCATATAATTATCAAATGATAGCAGTATTTTTTTTTTTGCAGTTGTCAAGCAAATGTCTTTTCAAACATGCACAATTTGAACAGTCTCTTATTTAATCATTTTCAATAGAAAATATCATAACAATTAACATGGTTTATTAAAGATAACAAAAACAGTCATAATTTGTTAGCCTTCATGCACTGCTCATATTTAAGCAATCCTGGTAAATAACTAATCTATTATCCATTTTCATATGACTGATGTATAAAATTAATCAAATATTGCTAGACTCGTTTTCTAATGTTTAGAATTAGCTCCACAACCTGTATACCAATCAGGGAATTGGATAATTCAGTAGTAAAATGTGTTAAGAGTTATGGCATTGAGTTCCCATGAGGCATGGTAGGACAGGCATGTATTGCACAAGATGACATAACAACTGCTACTTTAGACGCAGTCATGTAGAATTGTGTATATCAGATAATGTTGAGTATTGTGTTGTGAAAACACAAACTTTGTCAGTTGAAGATAGAGTTGCTGCAGGAATTAATGTTATAGGATATAAACATGAAAGAATATATTTATTAATTATTCATATTAAACATGAAGGTGTTCAGAGTAATGTACAAACACATCATGTAGAGAGTAAGTGATATTGTTTAAATCATACAAATTATTTTTTCCTGTGATATAAAATTATAAGTGTATAATTTGTCATTTGTAGTCATAACTTGTGTGAATTACATTTTTCCATTGATTTCTTTGAATTTCATAAATATATTCTGAATATATTTCTTCACTTTCTTTTCCACCTGTATAATAAGCTATGTGTGCATTTCTACGATTTTGCTCAGAATGTTGTAAAAATATAATAATTTATCTGGACATAATTATGCGTAGAACTCAGGACCAAGGTTTCAAACTGTTTTGAGGGAGTGGCTTGAAGCTGTGTGCTGTGAATGAAATATTATTACATGCGACATGTTTGAAATGTAGTGAAGTGAAGCAAGGATGAGACCGATATCTGTTTAGAGCCAGAAGGGCATTGAGTAACTCATATAATTTTATTGGCTCAGTGGTCTCGTAACGGGGAAGTCCCAGGGTTTGAAACCAAGTCGATGCGCTAGTGCCCTTTGGCAAGACATTAATCCTCATTACCAAGTCCGTCGGAGAGGACTTGAAGCTTTTGGTCCCCTGGTTGCTTGTTTCCAAGTATACACATGCTTTCTTTAATAGCAGTTAGGTGAAACAAAGATAACAGCCTTTGGGCTCTAAACAGACAATATATTAGAAAATGTATAGGGCATCTGAATGATACAATATCAGGACAACTTTCTTCAATGAATCATAGATTATTAAACACATGCAATTTGTTTATCTGTGCCTTGCATGTACAGTCGAAGCCTTGGCAGTCTAGACATTTAGGATATTAAAGTGAAATGTTCTACTTTTCTGGCTAACTATTAATATCTTTATTGTGATTTTCCCTCTTTTGCTGTCTTGCTAAGGCTATATGCATTCCATGGTATATACATTAGTGGATGTAATGTCATTTGTTTGAAAGTGCTTTGAAAAGCTGAAGTGGCCTTCAAAGAGACTTTAATATAGTGTGTTTTTCAGTGTCAAAATGAATTATACTATAAACAGCCTGTGTGTATTTTCACTATTAAAAAGCCTTTTTTTTTATATGTCCGTTAAGAATTATTGAATGTGTCCAGTTGGAGTATATATTGTGGATCATCCTAGTAGATGCATTGTGTCTGAATGATACTAATATTTTGATGTTATATTGCAAGGATATTATTCTTCTTTAATAATATTGATCAAGCCAAGTAACACCACTCGTTTGAATATAGATTTATTGTGAACTTGTTACTTGTAACAAAGTTGTAACAGCCTGTCTACATTATTTTAATCAGTGAGGACGTTCAGCTGGTTATAAAGTCCTATTGTTACACATAGACTTAAAGAGCAGCTTTCTATTGTCTTTGATATTCGGTTTCTTACATTGTTATGTTTTCTGATGAAGCTTAACCATGGATAGTCCATGCTGTCCAAGAATGTAGATACTGTAAAATTCACATTAATTTTATTTCATATTGAAAGTATGAAACAGAAGCAAAAGCATGTTCTGAAAGTTGTTCCCATGGTAAAAAAATGAGGGGAAAAAATGTAAGATCAAATTTTACACTGGAAATCAGAATTCATAGCCCAAAATTCTACTGTTGAAAGTTCATTTTGATCTTGGCAAAGGTTATTTATGATCTTGTATTTCTAGCAATAAAAAAGGGGCTTGATTATATTACAATTCTCTGTGAGGTTTGTCCCTTTCAACCCCTCCCCCCCTCCCCCCCCCCCCCCCGCTAGAAGGACACAGCTTATGAAATGAGTATACCATCTGCTGAGAGCCAGAAGGGCATTAATCCATATCCCTCTATACAAATTTAATTCCCTTTTGATTCAAGCCCGTCCCACCTGTTCATCACCGTATGTGTCATATTTCTGGTATAAAATTAGAGTTCTCAAGTTGATTGTGAGGTATACATGATTGTTGTGGTGTAACAGTTTTTCTATTTGTCAGATACTACTATAACTTTCAAGATTATATAAAATATATATTGAATAAGAAAGAAAGAGAAAGGAAAAGATATTTTTGTAAATAGATGCAAGATTTGAAGGAATATATGGAAGTATCTGGTGGGAGAATTTGGATAGAAGATGTTTTTTGATAGAGAATGATATTGGTGTAAAAAAATTAAACTATTTACCTGTAGATTGTACTAAATATGAGCCTGTGATTGTCAAGTATTACTTTTTATTGTCTTGTATGACCCATGAACTCTTGATGAATTTTCACCATTAAACTTTAATGATTCAATCCGTATGAGTGTATTGCAATAAGCGACGTTTCCATTCATCATGGGCACACACAACATAATGTGATTTACTTAATCAAGGTATAATTAGTCATTTTGTTTAACGTCTTTTAATGCAGTCGTTTGATATTATTTATGCATTCCAGAGATGGTATAATATACTAAAAGTTTGTGTACATTGCATAGCCTATCAGGACATACACAAATTATCTTTTCATATATTAGTTTACACGAGGGCATTTACAATTAGTTGAAACTGTTGATTACCTGTGCCTACTTACATTTATTCTGTTGTGTTGCTTTAAACATTCCGTCATTAAAATTACTGTAATTGTGGCAGTTATGTTATTAACACATATTAAACTCAAATCAATAGACGCTTCTTCACCGCAAACTATCAAATAAGCATTGAAGCCTTTTATTCCGAACAGTTGATTTTTCTTTTATCAATATTTTTGGTTGTGTAACTCTCAGAGAAGTTCTGAAAAGTTAAAGAGCTTTTCAAGGACTGTTTTTGAGGAAAAGGCAATGGCGTATCCAGTACAGAATCAAGTCAACATCAGCCCCCTTGTTTGATTGCCCAGGAAGAAGAAAGGAACTTGGAGTTTGTCTCCATCATGCGGGGCTGGTATCAAAGGTACATTCCATCTTCCTCGTCTGAATGGGATTAGCCCCCCCCCCCCCCCCCCCTGCTTATCAATTGAAGGTAGCATTGAATATTTAATTACATAATGAAAATTGCACTTTCAAGGTTCTGCAAAAGCGAACATTGGAATACATCATGTTTAGATTCATTGAAGTATCCATACGATAATCTTTCTTGAAGTATCCATAAGATAATCTTTCTTGAAGTATCCATACGATAATCTTTCTTGTGTGAAGTGTTTTTTTTTTTCTTTCCCTGGCTTTTTGACATGTTTTTTGACAGTTATGTAATTTATCATTTCCTTGTGAAAAATCTACTGATCATTCTGTTTGGTGTGCATTAAAACTTGTTTATATTCATACACATATTCATACAATTGTGTTTCTTCAAGGAGAAGTTCATGGCGATGAAGTGGGATGAATAGTTATGAAGATTGTTATGGTGAGGATGATGTTTAAAGGGAAAGTCCACCCCCAAAATAAGTTTGTTTCGATAGAGGCAGAATAATAAGAAAATCAGGTGAGTGAAAGTTTGAGCAAATTCTGAATGAAAATAAGAAAATTATGAATTATTGAAGTTGTGATCAATCAAATACAAATTGGCAACTCTGTGACTTACTATACGAGCTCTCCTTCATTTGCTTTGTGCATAATATTCCATAAAATCATGTTTTCTTCGTTAGTGATGACGGAATATATATTTGTTCCTTGCAGGGGGAGTATAGAAACATATTTGCAATTATTATATTTAGGGTGCATGTATGGTTGAAATTTTTCTTGAGGGAAAATGAAAATTTTAGATTTTTTTAGTACTGAGCAAATGGAAGTTGAGCTCGCATGATACGTCATAGAGTTGCCAATTTGTGTTTGATTGATCACAACTTCAATAATTCATAACATTCTTATTTTCATTCAGAATTTGCTCAAACTTTCACTCACCTGATTTTCTTATTATTCTGCCTCTATCGAAACAAACTTATTTTTGGGGTGGACTTTCCCTTTAATTATTAAAGGTGAACTGTATTTTTTGGGGCTGATGTGGCTCGATATTCAAAAAGCACATGGTTGCTATCATTGGTATAGAGCTTTGGTCCAGCTATTTAAAGGGGTCACCCATCTTGCGTGTGGATGTAATGCGAGAAGACGATACGATCAAGTTAGAGACGGGTGTGGGGTGGGGGCAGTATCTTCTTTTAACTTTGCTTCCCCCCTCGTTTCTCCCCTTCTCTCTCTCTCTATCTCCATCTCTCTCTCTCTCTCTCTTTCTCTCTCTTTCTCTCTATGTCTCTCCAAGATTCCGCCAGCCGAACCGTCACTCTTCCCACAGATCCTAAACCTTAACTGAGATTATTATATGCAACAATTCATTTTTGTTTTCTTCTTCGGATCATTTTACTTCTCCACGAAGGTTGGCCCTAGGCCTGTAACGCACAAACAACAGATTATTTTAATTTTGTATATATCTTTTAAATAACGACAACTAAAATCAGATTACATTTTTCACAAGAGAATTGTTTTAATAAACAGTAGAACAAAGATGAAAAAATCGGACTTGCGATGAGGCTCGTACAATTTGTCTCAAGTCACCAGCAAGCAGACATGTAGAATGTTCTTTAAAAAAAAATCAAACTCATTTAAAGCCATATAGATTTCTGATGAGCCCCCCCCCCCCCCCCGTTCCCATCACACACACGCACTCACACAATTTTTTGACTCCACATTTTGAAAAAGCAAGGTACTGACAAAGCAAGGTACTGACATGATGCTATAACAAAAAAATAACTCAAATGAGAATTGAATTAGCTTCCACTTTTTAGCCACGAATTAAATTATTTTTTGTCAATATGTTTCAATTTAATCCTTACCGAATATTTGAATTTATTTATTTGAATTTAATTTATTTATTCACCACCATTGAAAGCATTGACACAAAAGATATATAATTGTACAATGACAATGTCAATATAACATGAACATAAACATGACATGAATTAAAATAGATATTTTACAGCAATAAAGATTATAATAAATAACAATTGAAATAGTTATAGTTATAAGTAGTGTTAAGAGTAAAACAGTAAATTACTTTTTACAATGAGTTTGTGATCGATGGTAAAATCGAGTAAAAATAGCACATGTGCTAGTCGAGCCTGACTCTCGTTATCTAAAGCCTAAAATAAAGTTTATAGAAAAATACACGATGGGTTTCCAAATCCTATATTATGTATACTACTACAATTTAAAAAACGAGACTGGTTGCTATATACTAATATCATGGTGTTCACCTAAGAGTAATTTTGTGAGTTTTTACGAAAATTAGATGTCCTTGATCTCTCAATGTTTAGATTAGTAGGAAGCATATTCCAAAAATTACTTCCAACAAACGAAATGCAACATTTTCCTTGGTCTGTTTTGAATAAAGGAAGACGTAATTGTCTACCCGTTTTTTGTCTATCGTGGAATATCCATGTGGTATCATAATGCAATATTGTTTAAAGGTATGAGGTAATCGTTCATTTATGAAATCAAACATAAAAGTACAAATAGATAATTGATGCAATTTGAAAACATTCATGCAATTGGAGGTCATGAAACAGTGCATTAGCATAAGATAGATAAGCCTATCAAATTTATTCCATTCATCATAAAAACAAAACATTTAGATACACTAATATACAAAATCACAAGATATATAGTCAAAGTAAACAAACATTACATAAAATAATAGTACAATATAAGGTGATCTGGACAAAAACATAGAAAGGTGAGTATTTATGTGAATGAGGAGGCAGCTAGAAAGGAATTGCCTTATTGGTGCAGACAGCTGCCACTTACAAAAAACTGAAAATTTGAAATTAGGATAAGAAGAGAGTACGATGTGGCTTGAAATTTATACCACGTACAGCCATCTTTTTTAGTATACATATAGTGGATTACATATAAACGTCTTTGCAGAGACGGTATACAGCCTTACAGGAGTGAAATATGTACACACTATAATTCATTACTGTATATGTCCTTTAAATGGCTACATAGGCAGGGGCGTTACTTTAACTAGGCGTTGTGGTGTGCGCCTGTATGAAAAATGAAAGTTACAAACTGATTCAGCCGAGGACGCAGGTTCGAAATTGAGTCACATCTTTCAGATGGTGACGTTTAAAGGTCGTTCCTCAGACGTAAATAATCATATCTGATTGATACACGTCTGTAAAAACACAATAAACACACACGGCATTACTAAAGGGGGTAACACGTAACCCCCCCCCTCCCTTTCAGATGTTATGTTGGGAAATGTGGAATCTTTCTAGCATTGTCTGAAAATTGCAACATCAAATTTGATAATTTGACGACCGTTTTTAAAAATAATCTTTCCATTAAAATCTCTGCTGGCAGTTCAAAATGTTTGTTTGTTTTTGTGTTCCGGAGTTATTTGAAAATTAGGGCTAACTAGTCGGCAATTTTGCCACCCCCACCCTCAGTTTCCAAGTGGTCTAGCGGCGCCCCTACGTGCCTTCTAGAAACATTCCTGATCTTCAAGAAGTGCCGAATAGAATTTAGCTCCGGTTCGCCTTTCAAAAGCATATGTAGACGTCGCCAGACATTCCTTGCCGAGTAAGCACGAACCCTCGCAGGCGATGTAAGTATAACACGAGCAACGGACATCAGCAAGACACAACTGACTGCATCTGATGATGGACGAAACCGTGTATGACGACAGAACATAGGCATCGATGAGGGCGACATTGCTGGCCAGTAGTCGGAAGTTTTTGAAGATCGTGTGACCTGTTTCAAGGTTATAAAGTTAAAGATAAAATCACCAATATGAGTATGATTTTTAACGAATTCATTGTGAAATAGTATAGATATATATATTGACTGCTATGAGAGGCATCGCTTTTTCTATAGGCCCAAGGAGACGTTACATGACCCCGAGGCGGGGTGTAACAATGTAAGGATGATACGTCCCCGAGAGCCAGTATAGAAACAGCTATGCTTCAAATATTAAACAGTCGATATATCTTTTATATACCGAATTCACACAAAAAAATATTCAAAGAAATCTTACCTTATCCTTTTCTTGAGTAAAGATAGCTGGTTATACATCACAGAAAATCTGAGACACTGTCTGTAAATCTTCGCTGGAAAGTTGCCTGAATGTTACGATCATTCGGGAATCGCAGACAAAAAGCACTCCATGGTATCCGTGCACGCGCTCGCTCAAAGAATTTTTTTACACGTAAACCAATTGGGATCCAGCAACATTTATTTATGCGGCCCGTTACCCGGGGCAACGGGCATCTTTACAAAAAAAACTATCGACCTATAGGCGGGCATGCGGGCAGCTTAAAAAAAAAATTATTGACCGTTAGGCGGGCATGGCTAAAATCACGTGGCGTTAAAAAAGATGTTGCATTGCCCTTTGCCACCGACCGTATTCGGGTTGTAGGGTTATTACCCGCGGAGACGTTGTAAGGAAGGTAACGGGTATACATACATCCTCGTAATGACACACGAGGCGTTATTGTTACTGCGTCAGTGATTTGTTTGGTCTTCGATCGACGCGCCATGGGATAGAGATACCGTACAGTTGCAAATATTAGGTTTAATTACCGTTGTATAAGGAAAATCCATGAATCGAAACAACGCCATTTGTGCAGGTGGGAGGAAGAGGGTGGGTGGGAGGGGGGGGGGCTGTCATGCTTTAAACAAAAATCATTTACCTCTGTCCCGAGAAGATGAGCGACATGTAGTCGAAGATATTGTCTGGGTTGTGTGTATTGCCGTTGTTGCAGGAGTGGTATCGGTTGCCTGTTCAGAAGTAAGCGAAGCAGCATCTGTTGATCCTTGCCCTGTTGTTGATGTTGAGGATGCATGTGATGTTGGTGTTGTTGACGCTGGACTGCTTGTTGTCTCACTGGTCGCAGCATCGGTTGTTGACGAACGTTGTGTAGAGCCACTCGTCGTGACAACATTATCAGTCTGAGTAGTGGAACTGGACGTTTTGGATGACGTCATTTGATTTGGTGTGGTTTGGGTTGAAACTTCGGGAAAAGTGACAGCGCCTGGTGTTGTTTGCTGTACAGAACTTGATTGGATACCTGTTAACGTTGAAGTATATAAATAGCGAGATATTTGTAATGAAAATGATGACAAATCTCAAAATAAAAGATGGAGATTAGGCACAGAACATTTTCTTTACTTGGAATTCGTCGTTAAAATAATTGTTGTTATCATCAATGAATTGTAAGGCAGAAAAAGAATTTGCTTCAAAAAATCTAAGACAACTATATCCTAGATGCATTGAATAAACTGAATGTAAATACTTTTCTGTATATCACTGGAAAAATGAAAAGCCCATGAAAATTGAATTAAATCAATTGATATTATTAAAACTGCTATGGACCATCGGTATATATTCACCTCCTTCTTTCTCGCAGATATAACGGTGCTTGTGATCATTTTCAAATTTATCATCCAACCATTGGTATGACTTATTCGGTTCTATAACGAAACACTTCCCTCCTTCATCCAGAGTCTTTTCGTCACTAGCTGCGAAGTTGTAGTGGGTCAGACTCGAACCGTCCAGCCAAGTCACACTTGATAATCCTATCCAGTAATCCTTGTTTGCAAGGGGTAGGTTGTCCACCAGAAATTCTTGTTCGTCCTCTGATCCGATGTAGACAAGATGCATTCCAAGGTCGGCACATGATGATTTTGACGAGGCGAAATTTGAATTGCTTTGCGAGAAGTGATAACAGGATTCGTCATATTCAGTGTGGCCACCGGTACACGCTGCAAAAGGAGACAATTAATATGAAAAGGGGTATATTAAATACACATTTTCATTTGATTGTGTGCTGTACAATAATTGAATATCAAACAAACCAAGGAAATATTACATTGTCATTATGAAAAGAACGTTGGCTTCCCAGTAAGAGACAGATCCGTTGTTACTGTGCTCGTGCGCCTGTGATTATGAATTTATTTTTTTTCATGATTATTTTTTTTTTTTTTTTTTTTTTTTTTGGTAGACAAGATTAAATTTTGCCTTTTAGAAGTCTTAGAAAATGAAGACCCTCAACGTGCAGAAAATCACCGAGTTTCTACTTAATATTCTGTACTTACCGGCACTGTCTTCTTTTTCGTTTTCACAAATGTAATAGTTCGAACCGGAACACCTTTGGTCATGCCATTGATAGCTCCATTCATCCGCCATTCGGAAACAGATTCCTCCATCATCAAAGACATATGCAAAGTTGTTGTAGTCCAAGCTTGAGCCATCTATCCAGGTCACTTTTGATAAACCTATCCAATGCTTCTCACTACCAGATATGGTATTCTGCATGAAGTTTTGTTCTTCCTGTGACCCTATGTAGACGAGATGCATTCCAAGGTCCTCGCAGAACGATTTGGACGACGCGAAGTTTAACTTGCTTTCTGAGAAATAATAACACGACCCGTCATTCTCGATTTGACCAGATTCACAAGCTGCACAAAAAAAAAGAGACAGGGAGACATCATAGCCGAGAATGGGAAGAAGAGATGAATTGAAGATTATATGAAGGGAGTGTGGGCACAGAGAGGGAGAGGGGGAGAGAATGAGAAAATGAAAGAGAGAGAAGGAAAGAGAGAGATAGAGAAGGAAAGAAAGAGAGAGTTGGGTTGTGAGATCAGAGGGAGGAAGAGAGAGAGAGGGAGGGAGAAAGGAGGGATGAAAGCGTTATTGATCTAATAATGATCACGGATTTTAGGTTCAATTTCGTAAATTACATTTTCATCATATAAATATCCTTATTATTATTATGCCATACATAAAACTCTCGGTTAATTCGCTTAAATGGAAAAGAGTAAAAACGATCGGTCGCCAGAAATATCAGATGATTACAGCTAGAGGCAATTTGTGGAAGTTCACATACTTATGTAGGGGCTATTTTCTCTTATCCTTCCCAAACTATTTACAATACAATACAATACAGTCATTTCTATAGCGCTCTTACAAACTAGGCCTAACTGTTGTTTCACAGCGCTTTACATAAAACAAATTATCGAAAAAGTTGTTGATCACGGTCAAAGAGGAGAGTTTTGAGATATTAATATGGGTCTATTGTTATTAGTTTTTTCCGGTATATTTTTTAGCCTTTTTCTATAAAAAAAAAAAAAAGTTTTTAAATATGAGAAGAAAACAATATGGCAGATCATGAATTAATAACGACAAAAATGTGATGGATGAAATATTACTATTTAAACAAAGAGATGAAAAATCCAGAAGAGAGATTGCCGGGGAAGTTGTAATGGCCCGGTTCCTCTGGCCGATGGACACAAAACGTATGCATAAAGGACACAGCGGATGAGCAAAATTTCGGGGGTGGCTCCATCCGTTTTCTTCCGCTCCAGAAATGGACAAAATTGGCAAAAATTGGCGAAAACAGAACGGAAAATAACGGACGTGGGTAGTAGGTAACGGGGATGTTAAACGGATGTTCATCGGAAGCCTAGTGGATGAAAGCGGATGGAAGTGGATGACAGCTTTGAATACTTTATATACGAGATGCATACGCTTACATCCTTTCTATTTCCGTGCTACTAACGATATATAGACGTTCCATGTACCTTATCTGTCCTCCCTATTTCCGTTTTTGGCTGCAGCGGATGTGAGTTGCGAGGATGCCCAGAGGATGCAGAGAGGATACAGCGGATGTTTAACGGATGATAACGGAGTAGAACGTTTGTTGCTCGTATTTGTCGCGGATTTACATCGTACACGGCGGAAGTTCATCCGTTCTAAAAGTTTTGTGCAGCTCAAAACTTTTTGCGCGGATGAAATCACAGTGGACGGATGCTCGATGGATAGAGCGTATGAAACACGTATGCAATGAGTACACAACGGATGCATAGCGTTTTCGAACGGATGGCAAGATGTTTTTACGTTTTACATCCTCTTTGCATCCGTAAGTGCAGTGGGACCGGGCCTTAAGCAATTTAGATAATAAGTAGCAAAGTATTATATTGTAGACAAAAATGTGTATTTTTCTTTACAATAATACTTGGCTTTTATTTATTTTTACCACTATGTTTTGACGTTTGAATGTAAATATACACCCCAATCGAGGCACACTGCAAATAATCGATGTTATAGACATTTATGGATGAAAGAAAGGTGGTAATATGAGACCTTATCAAGTTACTCACCTAGATCAGCAGTCACTGGGCTGTATTGGTTTAATATAACGAAGATAACGAAGAAAGATAACTCCATCTGCACAATTATAAAATAATAATAATAATATTATAAGTCACATTTGTATAGCGGTTAAAACTACGTTTCTAAGCGATTTTACATTGTAATTATCATTACCCCGGTCACTGGATTCGATTGCTAATCAACACATGATAGTCCACGCCAGTGGCGGATCCAGGGGGGGGGGGGGGCCCGGGGGGCCCGGGCCCTTCCCCCCTTGAGAAAAAAATCATGTAAAATCACGTGATTTTTTACCTTTTTTGGGGGTTGGGCCCCCCCCCTGGCGCTCAAGGGGGGGGGGGTGCAAATTGAAATTTTTTTTGAGGATCAAAAAAAAAAATGTGCTCAAAATGTGCAGACAACGACAACTCTACTAACGACTCTTATCATTACATGATTTATATTTCATGATAATTAAACCTGATGTTATGATTTTAAATAAAATAGATACAAAATGACAATGGTATTACTCTGGAATAAGAATAAGGAGATATATACGAACAATACCTTCCCAACGATTCAATTCAGATATTACACTTTCACAACAAAGAGGGTGTTTATATATTTGCAATATGTGCTTTTCTTATATATTTTTTCAAATATGATTTTGGAAAACAAAACATTACTGAATGTAGGCCTTTGCCATATGAACAAAATTGTCCTTATGTATACAAATACATACCTCGATCTTATAGATGTCTTGCAACTCACCGACCATCGATACTTCCACTAAAGTATATCCTCTCGCTTGGACGAGCTTCAGTTCAAATGCATTCTTCTAAAAACATCAACAAGTATGACATTAAATCCATCATAATATTGATTCAGGGCCTATAATACACCAAATCATAGTCATTGAAAATTGATTAAACCACGCTTTCCGTGCATTACTTTTATAATTCTGACCCACATTTTCCATTATAATATCAATGATAGATCCCGCACCTGACGTCAAGAGTGATGCAGGTAGTATTTGGTCGGCTATTTTCCTAATTGATGTCGGTGATACAATAAACCCCACTAGACGACCGGGCGATGGTAGGCCCTTTGTTAGCTAATCCAAGCAGGTATCAACTTTATCTCCAGATGATCCATTCCGAATACCATGGCAAAGTTCGATATAATAGTGACTATAATACTATTCTTCGATGAATGTAGAGGGGATAGAAATTTGCTATCGATCATTCAATAGTACTGGAGGATGAATCTCTTTGAGGTGAGGATGAAGTGCCGAAAAGTGTAATGACCCTGTCGGGTCGGGTGGTCGGTTTACCCGACCTTTTGTAGAAGCGTGCTCCTTTATTCACGAAATTTCGGGGGTAATATTTGTGAAACAAACCCAAATTCTCATCTACATAATGGTCCTGTCCATTTTACCCGACACTTTGTGTGAAAACCCTACGGCAAATCTACGAAAGGTCGCATGACCTTCCGCTTTCGTTTTACGAAAGGTCGTGTACGTAACGCCAGGCACGTAGCCACGGGGGGAGGAGGGGGGGGGGGGGAGACCCCCTTCTTCTTTTTTTTTTTTACCTCGATCGATTACATGTATGTGCCCCCCCCCCCGAAAAAAAACATCAAACTCTGGGCTACGTGCCTGCGTAACGCGACCACCCGACCGGACGCGATGACCTGCATGATTCGTAGTAGGCCTAAGCCCTTAAAAGCGATTCTGTGATATGTGTCCTGTACGACTTAAATTTTGTTTCCGTTTTCTTAATCTAAAAACTAAAAATTTAAAAAAAAAAATCGTGAAAATAATATTATGACCATGGACTTATGGCAATGATACCAAATTTAGGTAATTATCCATGGTTTATCTCAAGCTTTTTATTTTATTTGATTATATATTATATTGTGCCGAAATAGAGGAGTTTTGTAGTCCAGTGGATAGGTCTGCGGAACTGTGGAGAATAGTGTACGGGGTTCGAATCCCTTCCATAACACTATCGTCCTTTGGCAAGACATTACTCTACATTTGCCACACTCCACCCAGGTGAGGTAAATGGGTACCTGTGCGCTGATAACATATGCCGTTCGGAGCCAAAGCTAGGGTAATAAATTTCCATGATGTGTTATGCGCTGTACAAAATGGAATATTATTATTATTGATAGGTGAAAGTCTCATTCGTATGGGACACATTTTACGGAATTGCCTACCCCCCCCCCCCCCCCCCCCCCCCCCCCCCCCCCCCCCCCCCCCCCCCCCCCCCCCCCCCCCCCCCCCCCCCCCCCCCCCCCGTGGTTTTATCATAGTTTCTCGCCAGTTTCGATACGCTTCTGCACTGGTTAGGCCGGTGCGCGAATTTTTTTTCCGTACTCGAGAGGGCAAATACCCCATGTGCGCATGCGCGTGGACTTGTGATTTCTCTGCTACTTCCCATACGAAATGTACATGTATTCGCATGTACTGTGCACGATTCGCGTTCTACAAGTAAACGATGGCATAGTAGTCTTCAAACACAGACTCTGATTTGCCAGTTTGACAAAACAATTACGCATATATCGTGCGTAGCAATAGTACTAGTATTCAAGTCTGAGTAGTTGTATGATTCAGACATTTTAGTGCTTACAGAAATGCATCCCAAATTGAATAGCATGGTATAGTAGTCTGCAAGCACAGACGCTAATCGGACAGTTTGACAACATAGTGTCTTGAGTAGTGCTTTATATTCAAATATGTGTAGTTTTATGATTCAGACCCTACTGGTGCGTGTATTGGAAAGGCATCTCAACTTGCAGAGTGGCATAGTAGTCTGCAAGCACAGACGCTAATCTGACAGTTTGACAAAATAGTGTTATTCAAGTCTGAGTAGTTTTATGATTCAGACCCTACTGGTGCGTGTATTGGAAATGCACCTCAACTTTTAGAGTGGCATAGTAGTATGCAAGCACAGACTCTCCTTTGACAGTTTGACAGAATAATATAGGCCTATTGTGTATTGAGTAGTGCTTTTATTCAAGCTTTTATTCAAGTACACAAACTTGCATAAAATCACTACTCATCAATACACAATATATTATTATGTCCTTGCAGACTACTATACTACACTCTACACATTGAGATGCATTTCTAACGCACGCACCAGTAGGGTCTGAATCATACATCTACGCAGACTTGAATAAAGTACTTCTCAGCACACTACTAGTATGTTGTCAAACTGTCAGATTAGCGTCTGTGCTTGCAGACTACTATACCATTCTATACAAGTTGGCGACTTGAATAAAGTACTTCTCAGCACACTACTAGTATGTTGTCAAACTGTCAGATTAGCGTCTGTGCTTGCAGACTACTATACCATTCTATACAAGTTGCAATGTATTTCCATATGCACTACTGGGTCTGAATCATACAACTACACAGACTTGAATAAGCACATCGCGACACATACGCATATTGATTTGTCAAACTGGCAAATCAGAGTCTGTGTTTGAAGACTACTATGCCATCGTTTACTCGTAGAACGCGAATCGTGCACAGTACATGCGAATACATGTACATTTCGTATGGGAAGTAGCAGAGAAATTATAAGTCCACGCGCATGCGCACATGGGATTTTTGCTCTCTCGAGTACGGAAAAAAAATTCGCGGCCGGTGTCATAGGCGATTTGTTCCGTGCAGGCGATCGGTTCCTCCGGAACCGATCGCCTGGATATGTACCCGCCGATTTGTTCCGGATTCGTAGATTCGTTCCGCTAGTCACAGGCGATCGGTTCCGGCCAGGCGATCCGTTCCGAATCTCATCGGAGAGCGTGCGTGCTCACGTATTATTGAATACACGCCATGGTACACCCCTAAAGCAAAATGAACTATTCTGGTCGGCCTTTGCAACCAATCAAACTTCTCCAAATTAGCTACACCAACGATTGCCAATTTGAGAACTTTGTATAGAAATGCAGATTCCCGTTGTTCAAATATGTTGATAATTGCGGCCAATGATTGACCACAAACAGCGCCGTCGCGAAGCGACGGGGACTGGGTGGTCTAGCAAAAAGGGCAGTTGTTGCCATAGGCTTAGTTTGCCTGTAAAAGCAGATGTCGGGGTGTTTTCTAATCAGGCCTTCTAATTTGGTTTGAATGCTGCTTTATATGATATCGTGTTACGTCAACCACCTATTACCGGGCTTCGATCACCACAGAATCTAATTATGCATGTGCATGGGCTGCATGCATGATGTACATGTAGACTCTAGTTTAAATGAAAGAGATGCGGGGTGGGGTGGGGGGGGGGGGGGGGGGCCGGGGTCAACACAAAAATATTTCCAAAAAAATAATATTGGTTTTCATTGCAACAATAAATACAAAAGTATCAAGATAAAGCTAAAATTTATTTTTACCATGTTTATTCGACACAAGTAATAAAAATATACGCGATTATATAAGCAGAAACGTTCGGCCAATGTCGGATAAGAACGGCGGCTTTCGAACGTATCTGCGAACGAGTCGATCCAGTAGATTCGTTCCGAGGAACAAATCGGCGCGCCGATTTGTTCCGCGGAACCCGGAACAAATCGCCTACCACACCGGCGGTGCATACCGATTCGTGAAAGAAACATAGAGGGGAGAGAGAAAGACAGGCAGACAGAAAAAAAGAGAACATGAGAGAGAGAGAGAGAGAGAGAGAGAGAGAATAAGAGGGGGAAAGAGGGGGAGGGAGAAAGAAAGAGAGAGAGAGAGAGAAAGATAAAGAGAGGGGAGGGAGAAAGAGAGATAGAGAGAGAAAGAGAGAGAGAGAGACAGAGAGAGAGACAGAGAGAGAGAGAGGGGGGGGGGGGGGTAGAAAGAGGGAGAGAGAGGGGGAAGACCCAAATGGGAATGGGGGTCGTTATAGCGCAGAGTTGATTTTTTTTTGCATTATGACGTAATAATCATTTATAATGAAACTTGGAGGAGTGAATGCGCGCGCATCAAATTGTCATGCCAACGACCCGCTTGAGTAGCCCATCCTATAGCACAGTCGACTACAGCTAATAAGATTTGTGATTTCGCAGTTGTGCGTTGAGTTCAAATTTATCTTGACATGGTGAAGGATAGGAGCAGTAAATATGGAATTTCACCAAACCGAAATAATGGCTCTGATCAGCAATAATCAAAGTGGTACAGAAAACAACATCCAACCTGAGAAAAAGACACTTGGAAGTTGCATAAATTGGACGCTTTTTAAACACCTTATACTGCTAGTTTCTCTCGTAGCTATTGGGATTTGGCTCCAAACACCGTCAGGTAAAATGGGAACTATAATCATCATTATCATCATCATCTAATTTGTTATCATCATTCCATCATCGTCATTGCATCTATATCGTCATTATGATGATGATGATGATGATGATGATGATGATGATGATGATGATAATGATGATGATGATCATCATCATCATTATCCTTATTATCATCATCACCATTATAAATATCGTCATCATTACAGGATGAGTAGCAGTGTAATGACATTTACGAACAGGGTATGATAATATCGGGCAAAATAATATTTGAAGAATAAATAAATTGGAAACTATGGGGTGAATAACAGTATAAGCATACTATAAATTTAACCACCAAAAAATAAGACCAGGAAGTAAACACAAAGTCATGTGTACTGCGGCAGCGCGGGGCTGGAATTGTAGTTTCCTCGCCCCCTCCCCCGCAAATTATGAAAATACTAACATTAGGGCAACTGTCACTTCGATTTTTCGGGCAGCTGATGGGTACGTCTCTTTTGTAACCTGTAATATCCTGCCTAATATTTCATGTTTCAATGACAAAATTACATTAAAAGCACTCACTGTTTCTTTTTATTTTTCACAGACGCATCAGAAGGCTTACGCAACTATGATGGAGTTCTTTGGGAATTCTGCGGCTACGACCCCGTAGCGGGAACGCCCCGTGACTCCATGTTCCCCGTCTACCATCCGGAGAGTGCCACCGTGCCCCGAGGGGAGGCCCGTAGGACAAGATTCAGGGAGAGATTTAGCTTTCTTTGGACGGAGACGATCGGGGCACCTAACTCTTTTCTCTGTGTTATTGCATCCTACTGCCTGTAATACTATAAATGAACTAGGTATGCCTACTTTTCTTACTTTCATCCCCTTGTATTCCCGATAATGTAGTAAATGATAGTGATCGAGGGAGGGGGCGAGCCTGCCCCTACTTTTACAAATCGTTTGCACGATGCAGATATTTGTTGTTGCAATGATCTTCAATAGTTTAAAAACAGCTTTACAAGTATTTTGTAAGATACTGCTAAATAAGACGACGGGGAATCGTTTCATTTATTTTAAAGCTAAAGCAATTAAACTATATCCTTCATTGTTGAACTTATGTCTTGCAACCTATAACAAATTGTGCACCATATTTCACTAGATCCTTAAGATTGGTGAATAATCAGACATCGAACTATTGTAGAATGTGGAATTGCAGCGACGTAGCGGAGGGGGTGGCGGTTTAGGGTTATGCTTTTTGATTAATAATTCTGTCTGACATTGCACATAAGACAAGATCGTAAAGATTTCCAAGAAATTTAAGGTTGATTTTAATCCCAATAGTCATGGTCGCACATTTCAATAGGAAATGAAATTGCCTAATTTTTTTATTTGTAGCATTCTTTATTGCATTCATTTAGTACAAATGAAATATCATACATCTTTATTTTAATTGACATACATAAAAAAATGTCAACATGTAAAGAAATTGTCAGCCCTCAGTAATACATAACATAATTAAATACACAGTAAATAATGTCTTCAAATTAATTATACTGAATGAATAGTAAAGATCAAAGCCTCCTCCTCCTCCCCAATCCACCGACAAACAACAAACACAAAAAACAACAACAGACAAACAGAAAGAAGAGAAGAGGGCAGTCTATAGCGGCAGAGAACAGAGCCATCTACACAGAGTTTGGCCAACTTGGTTTCACTGGGTCATTACATGGCGTATATTCGTTTGTTTAGTGCTTGCCCAACAAAGCAGTAGTCGCCATCTTGTGACCAACTCGAACCGGGTTGGCCAAACTATGTGTATATATGGCTCTGACAGAGAGCAGCTAACTCCACGCGAACCCGCCAAACCCCACCACTCGTCATCCATTGTAATGTCCTCACTTTTCATAGTGTATAGTGTCAATGTATTTCGCTCGGTGGCAATCTTTCTTTTTCTTGTTTACTTTTAAGCAACTTTTTTTCCTATTTTTGCAATACTTGGAAGCTTTCTTTTCTCCCTACTAAGCTTGATGTTGACTTTCTAAAAGCCGTTGCGATCGCGATCGTGCCAAGTTTTAACATACATGTTTTACTGTATGATTTCAATTTATCATTTTTTTTTCAGTGGTTAATCGACTCATACTACGTCATAATACAAGGGACTGCATGGCTGTGACGTCACAATAACTGCTGACTTCACTTTCATTGGGTGCATGCCATCTTTACCGGAAAAAAAACAGAAGACAAAAATGAAAGGAGAAAAAAGAGAGTCATGGAAAATCACAAATCGTACGAGGATTTCACACCCAGGATACTAGCTCGGCCACGAACTCTTTCAAGAAGATATGAGAGAGAGCTAAAACTAGAAATTTGCCAAGCTTGATATACAAGTTATTTGCCATCATCAAGGATTATTGATCATTCGACATAAGGTCTTCTCTTTTGGTTTGAAGGCCTCTTTGATCTGGACCATGCATGAAACAAATACCAAAATAATAGAAGTTTGTTTGTTGAACTTTAATACAGATCAGGAGGCATCTCAATACGATTGGATTTGAATGCTAAAAACTAATAAATTCGACAACTCTATTAAAAAATTGTCTAATTAACAATAATTGTCGTTAAAATTAAAGGCTGTTTTGAGGACATAATCTATATTTCCCGTTACAATTGTCAAAGCTTCGTTGTACTGTTTAACCCGTATATTAAATCAATGTCATTATTACCAAATTCCATTTGGAACACAAGCTTGGACTGTCTAGTGTTTTTGGTGAAGAGTGTGAGTGGGTGGGGCAGGGGGCGGGGGGGGGGGCTAGCGGGGGTGTGGCCGTGTTCTCCCAATCAGAGAGAGCTCAAAATGGGCCAGTACATGTAACTAGTACAAACTATTTAGCAAAAGACCTAAAATATGAAATATTTTCCCCACAGTTAGAGATTAAAATATTAAATTCCTTGCCAAAGGACATTAGTGCCGGAACTTGAACCGTGAACTATTTGATCCACAGTCCGGTGACATATCCACTAGACAACGACAACTCTACTAACGACTCTTACCATTACATGATCTATATTTCATGATAATTACACCTGATGTTATGATTTTAAATAAAATAGATACAAAATGATAATGGTATTACTCTGGTATAAGAATAAGGAGATATATACGAACAATACCTTCCCAATGATTCAATTCAGATATTACACTTTCGCAACAAAGAGGGTGTTTATATATTTGCAATATGTGCTTTTCTTATATATTTTTTCAAATATGATTTGGGGAAACAAAACATTAATGAATGTAGGCCTTTGCCATATGAACAAAATTGTCCTTATGTATACAAATACATACCTCAATCGTATAGGTGTCTTGCAACTCACCGATCCTCGATACTTCCACTAAAGTATATCCTCTCGCTTGGACGAGCTTCAGTTCAAATGCATTCTCCTAAAAACATCAACAAGTATGACATTAAATCCATCATAATATTGATTAAGGGCCTATAATACACCAAATCATAGTCATTGAAAATTGATTAATATAAACCACTCTTTCCGTGCATTACTTTTATAATTCTGACCCACATTTTCCATTATAATATCAATGATAGATCCCGCACCTGACGTCAAGAGTGATGCAGGTAGTATTTGGTCGGCAATTTACTAATTGATATCGGTGATACAATAAACCCCACTAGACGACCGGGCGATGGTAGGCCCTCTGTTAGCTAATCCAATCAGGTATAAACTTTATCTCCAGATGATCCATTCCGAACACCATGGCAAAGTTCGATATAATAGTAACTATGTATTATTCTTCGATGAATGTAGAGGGGATAGAAATTTGCTATCGATCATCTAATAGTACTGGAGGATGAATCTCTTTGAGGTGAGGATGAAGTGCCGAAAAGTGTAATGAACCTGAAATTGATATTGGTTTCGTTTCTAGAATGCAATGCACTAGTTTTAAAAGTTAATAGCATTGGCGTATCCATTAATCGTTAAACAAGAGGAAAATCGCGAAATGTATCGGTAGAAACCCACTGGTAATGATATACTCCTTAGCAGGGCTTAGTTCGAATCATCGGATCATCGCGTCGGGTCGGGTTGTCCCTTTACCCGACCTTTTGAAAGCATGCCCCTTTATTCACGAAATGTCGGAGGTAATATTTGTGAAACAAACCCTAATCCTCATCTACAAATGGTCCTGTCCAACTTACCCGACACTCTGTGTGAAAAGGCTACGGCAAATCTACGAAAGGTCGCGTACGTAAACGCGACCACCCGACCGGGCGATGGTAGGCCCTTTGTTAGCTAATCCAATCAGGTATAAACTTTATCTCCAGATGATCTATTCTGAATACCATGGCAAAGTTCGATATAATAGTAACTATGTATTATTCTTCGATGAATGTAGAGGGGATAGAAATTTGCTATCGATCATACAATAGTATTGGAGGGTGAATCTCTTTGAAGTGAGGATGAAGGGCCGAAAAGTGTAATGACCCTGTCGGGTCGGGTGGTCGCTTTACCCGACCTTTTGTAGAAGCGTGCTCCTTTATTCACGAAATGTCGGGGGTAATATTTGTGAAACAAACCCTAATTCTAAATGGTCCTGTCCAATTTACCCGACACTTTGTGTAAAACCCTACGGCAAATCTACGAAAGGTCGCATGACCTTCCGCTTTCGTTTTACGAAAGGTCGTGTACATAACGCCAGTCACGTAGCCACGGGGGGAGGGGGGGGGGGGGGGGAGAGAACCCCTTTTTTGTGTTACCTCGATCGATTACATGTATGTGCCCCCCCCCCCCCCCCACCCCCAACATCAAACTCTGGACTACGTGCCTGCGTAACGCGACCACCCGACCGGACGCGATGACCTGATGATTCGTAGTATGCCCCTTAAAAGCGAGTCTGTAATATGTGTCCTGTACGACTTAAATGTTGTATCCGTTTATTTAATCTAAAAACTAAAAATTTCGTGATAATATGATAATGGACTTATGGCAATGATACCAAATGGAGGTAATAATACTTGATACTTGATGTGGTAATCCCTGAAGCAGCTTTTCCAAGCTATACTGGGATGGGATGTGTTGTGACAGCAGGTGAAGGTGCAGACAACAAAAGGGTGTACAATTGCTTTATACAGTAAAATAGTGACGTGCAAGTAAAAATAATCATGCTGCTATATGGTTTACAGCATTCTGGAACCTACATGAGGTTCCAACCCTCTGATGACAGGGAGGGCGATCATCTGGAAAGCAGCAACTGATGGGGCAGTAACTGCAGTGAATGGTAGTTGATTCCAGATGCGAATGGTGCGGGGGTAAAATGAGTACTTGTAGGAGTCGATTGTTGCCTCAGGAACAGAGAGCTTGAGTGTGTGGTCTCTTCTGCCGATGTATGTAGCTTTGGTTATGAGGTGAGGAAGACAAATGTTGACTAGCTGGTGGTGTATTTTAAAGAGCATGGTGCTTTGTGCTAGAAGACGACGTGTGTGCAGTTTATCCCATCCCAGCTGGGAAACAAGCCCTGTAGCTGACGTGGATCTTCGGTAGTCGCGGTAGACAAAACGAGCAGCTGTTTTCTGTACCCTTTCCAGACCTTCGGCAGCACCAGAAGTGTGAGGGTTCCAGGCTTCAGCGCCATACTCTAGCTGCGGTCGAACCAGGGCTGTGTATGCTCTTGATTTCACATCCTTGGTGCATGGTGACAGGGTTCTCCGCAGCAATCCAAGGGTTTTGTTGGCCTTGTTCAGTAGGAGTTGGCAGTGTGTATTCCATCGAAGGTCCTTGGTTACAGTTACCCCGAGATACTTGTACTTGTCTATTCTGGGTATTATCTCGTTGGAAATCTGGTAGTCATGCTGTATTGGTGTTCTTTTCCTCGTGATGGTAAGGGAGGCGCACTTCTTGACATTGAAAGCCATGGACCATTTCGCTGACCAGTCAGACAAGGTTTGAAGGTCTTGCTGAAGGATGGAGGTGTCATTCTTAGTGTGAATTTCTCTGTAGATCACACTATCGTCAGCAAAAAGGCGCATCTTGGACTGGATATTTGCAGTGATGTCGTTGATGTACAGCAAAAAGAGGGCTGGTCCGATCACTGAACCTTGAGGTACCCCAGAGGTAACAGGCATCCAAGATGACCGGGAGCCCTTGACAACAACTGCTTGCTGCCTGTTGGAAAGTAGCGACATAGTCCAATGTAATGTGTCTCCTCTTATGCCATAATGCTCGAGCTTGGTCTGCAAGTGGCGATGAGGTACTCGGTCGAAAGCTTTCTGGAAGTCAAGGAAGATGACATCTGTTTGGCCTCTGCATTGTAAGGTGTGTGCCCAATCCTGGGTAGCAGAGATGAGTTGTGCGGTGGTGGAGAGTTTCTGCCGAAATCCATGTTGGTCATCTACCAGGATGTTGTTGGCAGCTACATGTTTCGAGATATGGCTGAGCACTATGTGTTCCATTAGCTTGCTGCAGATGCAGGTCAAGGAAATAGGTCTGTAATTTCCTGGATCACACTTATCACCGGACTTGTGGATGGGTGTTACCAATGCATGCTGCCATTCAGCTGGAACAGTGCCAGAGTTGTAGCTCTGCTGAAAAAGGAATCCTAAGGCAGGAGCAATCTCGTCAGCTACAAGCTTGAGGAGTTTAGGTGGAAGTTCGTCTGGCCCACAAGCTTTGGATGGGTTGAGATTTGACAGCTGCTTTGCCACACCAGGACGATGAATGTGTAGATGGCCGATATCAGGAAAGTGTGAGGAACCTTCCATACGAGCATGACAAACCTGTTGGTTGGTGAATACCGAGTGGAAGAAGGAGTTGAGACACTCTGCTTTGTCTTTGTTGGTCGTGTGGATGCCTTTGTCAGATCTAAGCGATGGGATTTCCATATTCTCAGTCCGACACTGCTTGACATAGGACCAGAAGGTCTTGGGATTCCCTTGCAGACTGTTCCCTATGATGTTGTTCACGTAATCGTGGTGTGCTTGGTGAACTAGTTTCGCTACCACGTTGCGGTGCTGTCTGAAAGCCTTCCATTTTGACGTACTGGGGTTTCTACGGGCTTTCTTAAAGAGCCTATCACGCTTCCTCATTTTTCGTTTGAGGTCGGTGGTGATCCACGGAAGGTGTCGCCGGGATTTGCTCATCTTTGATGGTATCAGATCCTCCATACACTTCTTGAGGAACACAGATATCCTGTTCCAATTCTCATCTACAGTTTGGAGCTCTGGAGATGAAAGGAAGAAATCGATTGAAAA